TAAATCTTAAAGAACAAACCGAGAAAAAAAACAACAAAAAATACAAAAAAATAAAACTTTTTTATTACCAACCGAACAAAAGATAAAAACAAAAAAGAAAAACAAAATGAACATCAATCTTTAATAACATTACAAAAAAACTCAATCGCTTAAATTGAAAAGTTGAAAAACCAAAAAAAAAAAAATACGATTTTTGAATTTAACTGAAATGCGTACTTTTTTTCTTTTATCTCATTATTTTATTACTTTGTTGAAGCTGAGATTTGTAAATACGTATTTAAAAACAAAAACTAGAACCCTTAAGAAATGAAAAAAAAAAAAAAAAATGAAACAAAAAACCCAGAACCGAACTCGTAAAATCATAACCAAACCAAAACAGAGTGTAGTTAAACAATTTATAATAATAATAAAAAAATATAATAATTATTATAATTTATTTCTATTAAAACCAAAAGAAACAAAGAAAACATTTAATAAATGAAGAAGAAAACCAAACGATTTTTTACCAAAACAAACAACAAATTATTATAATAAACTAAAACCAACAAAACAAAAGATGAAGAGAAAGAAACAAACAAAATAAACAACAACAGAAAACCCAATTTACAATAACTCACACCACAGTTGACAGTCAAACGAAATCCAAACCCAAAATGTATGGAAAAGGCAAGAGCAACAACAATAACAAAAGAACAATATATTACAAATTTCCCAAAGAAGAAAATATGGAAAATAGAAAAAAATGATTCTTCATGTTATTGCTAAACGAGATCGAAGCGAAAAAGGAATAGTGTAATAGGCAAAACATATGTTTTTCGTTTTCTACTTCTCTACAACAACAACAAAATATTTAACAAATATTTATGGAAACTGAATCAAGGTGACATGTAAAAGCATCGATTTTTTGAAAAAAGATATATTTAATAATTGCTTAAATATTCCCCCCACTAACTTAACCCCATAATAAAATAACACAGGTAGCCGCATCAGCAAAGATGGTAGATTGAACTGTGAAAAGTATTAAAGAATCGAAAAATTTTAATAAAAAATTATTCAAAATTGCAAAAACTTATTGTATGAAGCGCTCCGCATTTGGGTATAGCTCCATACAATGCTGTCTCCTAGCATTCGTCCACCGAATGAGTCTGATATGTTTAAAGTTTTCAGCATTTTAAATTCTTTTGCGGAATAATACGGTTTCACTGTATGGCATTCCTCTCATAGCTAGCGATATAAAGTATTTTAAAACATTTTTAAGTATATAAATGCCCTAATGTATTTGAGCATTTCGGGTTCTCAATGAATGAAAATGCTTCGACCCTTGCAGTTGAATTGAATATCTTAGTCGCATCTTTCCGATCAAGTGAGTGCACCTTCATTTTTGTATACCCTCCACCTTGGAAAGGAAGGTATATTAACTTTGCAATTTCGTTTGTCATATCCCTAAATATTTGTCATAGACTCCATAAAGTATATACAGGGTGAGATAAAAAAAACTGCAACAAAGTTAAATGCCATAATTTTTACATTTTTTTAAATTTTATTGAATGAAATCAAAAAATGTCGGAAATAGTATCAAATTTTAGAATAGGTTTAGATTTGTTCCAATTGCTAACCTTTGGCACGAATTATGGGCTTCAAACGGCCAATGAAATCCACGCTGCACGAATTTTGCCCTGCGGTTTTTTGGCCCATTCCCGGGGAAGCTCTTGCTTAAGGTGATCGAAACTTTGATATATTTTAGTGCCAACCTTGCTTTCCAAAATACTCCAGACACAATAGTTCAACGGAGTTGCATCCGGAGATTTGGGTGGCCATTGTGCGCTGGAGTGTCCAAGGTCTGCGACCAAAATGTTTACGTGCCCAAGGCTTTAATACAACCTCCAGATTATTTTCGCGAAAATATTCTGCATCGGCTGTTATGTCGGCCCACACCATCACCATGGCCGGTGCTTGAGTTCTGTTGGCCAACCGAAGGTGCACATTTTCAGCTGACTTCTTTGGCAAGTAAACACGATCATTTTGTTTGTTTACAAACTGCTGGATAACGAATGTTTTCTCATCGGAAAAACCAAAATTCGGCAGTTCACCACTTTCGGCCAAGCGGAGCAACTCTTTAGCTCATTTGAGCATATTTTCTTTCGGTTGTTGTGTAAGTGGAAGATCTTATACTTTTTGGAATCTCAATGGCTTTACCCCGAGCTCATTTTTCAATATTTGCCGAATGGAGTATTGCGATATTTTCAGCTCACGAGTCATTTTTCGGCTACTGCGATGCGGATTTCCATCAAGTTGCTTCTTTACTTTTCGAACCACTTCTGCAGATGTTGCTGCTTTCTTCCGTCCACTTCCTTAACGTCGGTCTACGCTACCAGTACTACGGTAACGAGCGATGGTACGAGACACAAAAGATTTATTCACATTAAATAGCCACTTTTGGTTTTTCAGCCAAATATAAAGAAATCACACTATCACGCTTGAATTCCATCACGAATAACTCTTTTTTCTTTAAAATTCTCACCAAAATGCTTTTGTACGCATGTAAACAATATAATGAGCTGTAATAGGAAAAGGTTTAAAAGCTTTCGGACGAGTGGCTTAGACACAACAGCAGTCTGAAGTTTATTGCAGTTTTTTCATCTCACCCTGTAGTCCCCATATAATCTGATATTCGGAAATTTGATAGTTTTGCCAGCTTTTTTAACGGATTTGACTAGACATTGGTACTTGTAGTTCGTAATGGGTTCTAGCTCCGTTGCCGATACATTGTATGTATAGATAGGTCCACGTTTTTGTTTAGTCCAATTTAACAGTACCTCCCTACATTCGGTATATTGACGATTTTTGCACATTCGTTCACAGATTTGTCTAAAAATTGGTAGTTGTTTGTCATAATGGCTTCTAGCTCCGGTGGCGAAACACTGTATGTATAGGTCCACGTTTTCGTATAGCCCCCACATAACGGTGTCTCCCGATATTCGGTATTTTGGTAATTTTTGCAAAATTTTTCCACGAATTTGTCTAAAAATTTGTGTTTAAAGTTCCTATTGGGTTCTCGTTGCGGTGGCAGAACATTTGTCTTGCATTGTGCACCAAATGTGTAATATCAGCCCAAATGAAATTTTGAATAGACGACCAGTTTAAGCCTCGAAATGAGTATGTCAAATTTGATCAATATAAAAACGATATTTGGGAAAATATTTCAAAAACAGCACAAAAATTCCTTTCCCAAATTTTATCGAGATCGGTACAGATTTGGATATAGCTCCAATATATATCTAAGTCGGATTTGCTTTTATTCGAATTTGTATTTTACTCCCTTACACCCGTAAAAAAACTCGATACATCAACGATATTTGGTGCCAACTATTATATACAGAATAGAAATACCTCTGCTAAGTTTTATGGATATCGGTTCAGATTTGGATATATTTCTCTTAGAACAGTGTTCCTTTCTATATCTTCATCCAATTTCTAACTAGACAAATTTAGCCCAGTGAAAAGGAGTAACATGATTGTCAGCTTCTGATTGGTTCATATGTTGAATCTGAAGAAGTATCCTCTAATTTTAACATTTGTACTAGTTATCTTAGAAGAAGAAGATCTAAGTTTCAAATTTCGCCCGTTAACTAAATTTGACAGAAAAAAAATTAAATGACTACCAATGACAAATTCATAAAACCTTTGGCTGTCCTTTGATAGCTCGCTGTTTTTAACTCTTTTAGGACCGAGAAGATGTCCGCAAAAGAAATTTAAGAGTAATCTATCGAGTTCACTACGAAAAAGTCCTTGGGGTTTTCATTTTAAAAGTGTTTATTTTCCTCCTTACTCGATGATCCGAGTAGAAATATAGAAAATATAGAAATTTATCTTGAAAATGCTTTGTTAAAATTCCTTTAAATTCTTTAACTAAATTCCTTGCAACTACCTTGATTCAGTTTCCCCAAATATTAAACGTTACAATTCATACATTAACATAAATTGTTTCTTATATTCTTATATATTTATTTTTTAAATAAAAACTAATAAAAACAAATTAAAACAAATTTTTGTCCACACCACAGACTACGAATTAAAAAAATGAGAAAAAAACCAAAAAAAAAATATTATAAAATAATAAAAAAAGACAAAAGAAGCCCAAAACCAAAAAAGTAATTTAGTTATTATTGTTATAAATAAATTATAAAATTATGCATAATTATAAAAAAAAAATCCGAAAAGAAAACTGCAGTAAAAAAACTAAATAATTTTTTTCAAATACATGAAAACATGAAAAATATTAAAAAATACATGCTTTTTAAATGTGTTTTTTTTTTCGGAGGAGGGCGAAGGGGTTGCAGAAATATTGGAAAAAAATTACTAAAAAATGAAATATATAAAAATGTGATTTATATTTTGTGACGAAGGTGGAAATATAAAAGACGATTTGAGTCAAATCGGATGCTCTTTTCGAATTATAAAAAATAATTGTTTCTTTTTTTTTTAATTGACAATTTATGACAAGAAATATTACATATTATGATATGCGAAGCTTAAACCAAATTCTAGGTTCTTTGACAATTCTTCGAGGTATATCCTACTTCAAATGTCCAGAAATTATTGCCGTTTAATTTTTTTTTTTGTAAATTTTAAGGTAATTAAATTAAGGGTAAGGTGCGAGGATTGGACCGATACTCCCCATCTCCTAAGTCTATCCTACTTAAAATAACCTGAAACGGATTTCATCCAAAAAAGTGGGGTCAAAGTTCATTATTTCGATGTAGCCATTATTCTCAAATCATAAAAAGGTAAGCTCTAAGTCTATGAAATATTTATATTTTTATATTAAATGCCTTTGAAGGACTTAATATATTCACCCGAAAATCCTCATTTTCTCTTGAACGTGTAATTCGTCTGATCTCATTTCGGTTGAACCTGGACCAAGACGCCGAATAAAAAAAATAAAGTTAATGTTGTATATAAATGAATTTACATTTTTGACAATAGCAACAAAATTCAGATTATACAAGTATATCGATCATACTGGAAATAAAGTCGGTAAATTTCGCAGCTCCATTTGCCAGAACTAAAGCTCCAACTTTAGAAGGATTGAATTTATCCAGGGGATTGATTGGTTTGTTTTTGGGAGACGATTTACTCTTGATCGGTTTTTTCTTCTTTTCCTTTTTAGCCTTTTCTTCCATTGGAGTTGAAATGTCTTTTGATTTATGTCCCTCTTTTTGAATATCGTCTTTTTTATCTTCTTCAGCCGGAGCATCTTCACTTTTTTTAACTGGAGCATTATTACTTTCTTCGGCTGGATCATCTTTGCTTTCTTCTGAAGCTTCAGAATCTTGATTTTCTTCGGCGGGAGTATGGTTGCTTTCTTCTGTTGCTGGATCATCTTTGTTTTCTTGTGGATCATTGTCTTCAGTTGTATCATCTTCATTTTCATCCACTGGAGAATCTTGGCTTTCTTCAGATGGATAACCGTTGCTTTCTTCTGGGGCTGGATTATCTTTACATTCATCTGACTTATCACCTTCACTTCCTTCATTTAATGCATCCTTGTTTTCTTCCTCTGGATTATCATTGCTTTCTTCGTCTGGAGTTGGAACTTCCTTATTGTCATCATTTGGGTCATTCTTGCTTTTTTCAGCTGTAGAATCTTTGCTTTCCGCAGCTGAATCATCATTGCTCCCCTCTGGAGCTGGGACATCCTTATTTTCTTCAGTTCCTTCGTTGTCTTCACCAGCACCTTCCGTAGGATTTTCTTCCTTAGTTTCGTCTACATCTTGGGATACATCATCCACGGGCACTGGTTTTGCAAAGCCTGTTTGACCTATGGTCATGACACAGAAGACGACACATAAAAATACGAAGCTGAATTTCATATTAATTTAATAAATTAATTAAAGAAATAATCAATGAGCCATGGCTCACCTACTGTTATTTATATTAAGGCTATTATGATTTTCATTTATTTTAAAAAATGTGATTATACAAAATCGAAAGCAAATATTTTAACAGGTTATTAGTCCGCAAATAGGTGGAGTGCCAAATCAATTGTTTATGAGTGCAAATAGTAGTAATATTACCCTTTGTTATGGACTTTAAGCGAATAAGTACTTATAGGTGAATAAACTGATTTATATTTGCCTTGAGGAAATGTATTAAATATGACAAGTGGCATGAGTCAAAATGCGTGTATGTTTTTAGTTTCTTCCATACCTAGAAAAGAGGAAAATGTTTGTACGTTCGATTTTTTGTAATTTATAGACTCAAAAACTGCTGAACAGATTTTCCTGAAAATTTCCAGACATATTTTAACATCGCCTGAAAGTAACATAGGATATACAGCGTTAGATGAAAAAAACTGCAACCAACTTCATACTGGTGTCATTTCTAAGTCACTCGTCCGAAAGCAGTTAAAATGATTCCTATGACAGCTCATTATATTGTTTACAAGCATACAAAAGCCTTTTAGTGAGAATTTTCCAGAAACAAGTTATCCGTGATGGAATTCAAGCGTGATAGTGTGATTTCTTTATATTTGGCTGGAAAACCACAAGTCGCCATTCTTAGAGCACTTCAGCATTTAAATGTGAATAAATCTTTTGTGCCTCGTACCAACGCTCCTTATGCAATATCAGCAGTAATGGTTCGAAAAGTAAAGAAGCGACTTGATCGACACCGCGTCACAGTGTCCGAAAATGGCTCATAAGCGTTTGACTTTGTTGTAGTTTTTTTATCTCACCCTGTATACATATATGAACTAAAAATATAGCATCTGAACCGGAGGTTGCTCCGAAAGAAATTATGTATACAGTCTTCAAAGTTAGAATATGTGATGGAATTTTAAACAAAAATAAATTTACAAAATTCTACTGAAATCGGTTCAGATTTGAATATAATTACAATATATATTTTCGGCCGAGTTTATGTATTTGACGCACCACACATGCTATAAATTTCTGATTTCAATGGAATCTGGAATATGTGACGGAATTTGGTCTACAAATAAATTTGTCAAATTATATTGATATCGATTCATATACTTTCTATGTACATTTTTCCTGCCAATTCCTGCATGTCAAATTTCAGTGAAGTTTGGTCTAAAATTCTAACTTAACAAAGTACACAACAATTTAATTGAGACTACGATTATTACGGGAAGTATATAGGTTCATGTGTATTTCTACCTCGAATCTCACCAATAGCAAAAAAATGTACGTTTGACGAAATAAGTAACGAAGCGCCCAAAGTTCAGCTAATATCTACATAAATTTATATACTAACAAACCGACAAACAATTACATTTATGCATATTCACATATCAACCTACAAATAGCGATTTCCATCTCTGGTGCTAGTAAATTTGTATGCATTACTATTAAAGTCTACTTTCAGGCGTATATTTTGAAACGAGGCAATACTATTTTATTTGGCATCTTGTGCATAATATGCATCAAGAATACGTTTTTTGAACAATTTTTTCTATATGGGCATATAAAAATCCTAGGCTACTATTTTGATAACGTTTTATTCCCTTAGCCATATGGCTCATATGTAATGGGCAAAATATGCCTAATCGAAAAAACGACTTTAAACCCTACATCTCTTTGAACCAAATCCATTTTGAAGCCAATTTAGCGGTGTCCTTCCTTCCTTCTGTCTTTCTGTCTGCCAGGCTAACTGGTGCGCACAATAACTCTTGAAAGCAGTATCCAATTTGGTCCAAACTTCGTGCATCGTAATATTATTATAAAACTTAGATCGAGTTCAGAGATGTGAAAAATCGGTTCACTTCTTCTGCTAGACCAAAATTATAAAAAAATAATAAATAAATAAACAAATAAATAAAAATAATTTACCTCATGCACAAGAGAGAATCTTCCGATCTTTTGTTAAAACCTAGCCAATTCTTATACTTGAATCAGTACTATATCACTTGAAACAAGTAAACAAGCTGTTAGTTCGGTCGGGCCGAACTTTGTATACCCTCCACCATTTGGAACAAAAAAAAAAAAAAAAATAAATAAATAAATAAAATCCGTGAAAATTCTGTTAAAATCTTAAAAATACCGGATATAGCCGTTATATTAGGGTCTATACGACTACGTAGACCTGCATGGGCAACTTTTGTCATAAACCCTACAATACTCGAATGCGAAACTTGAAAAAACAAATGGTGAGTAATGTAGCTAAAATCATTAAAATACCGAATATAGGGAGGTACCATTATATGGGGGCTACATCAAAACGGGGACCTGCACTGACAATTTTCTGCCATAGGCTGTGGTATTCATTACGAACTTCAAACACAAAAATTTGAAAAAAATTCGTTGATTAATTTGCTGAAATCGTCAAAATTCCGAAAATAGGGAGGTACCCTTATATATCTGTCATAGGCTGTAGTATTCATTACGAACTTCAAACACCAAATTTGAAACAATTTCGGTGAATAATGTCGCTAAAATCATCAAAATACCGAAAATCGGGAAGTACCGTTATATGGGGGGCTATAAGAAGACGTGGACCTGCACAGACAATTTTCTTCCATAGGTTGTAGCACCCATTACGAACTTCAAGTACTAAATTTGAAATAATTCCGTTAAATAATGTAGCAAATGAATATCGGAAGGTACTGATATATGGGGGCTATACCAAAACGTGGACCTACATTGCCCATTTTCAATACCAAAAGTCCTGCAGACATAATATACATTTGAGTAAAATTTTATCAGCCTACTTTATTTCGTTCGGGAGCTAGAGTGATTTCCACCGACGGTCGAATGGATGGATGGACATCGTTAAATCGACATAGTCGTACTATGGTGGAGGGTTTGATATTGAAAATAACATATATCGGTATACATTTCGGTATAACCCCATATAACGGTATATCCTGATTTTCGTGTTTTAGGCGTTTTTTTTTTCCATTACTCCTAGCAAAAATATTCAATGTTAGTCCACTTCCTGCTATATAGACCCCTATAATAATGAGAAAAATATGGGGGTCCAAGATAACACACAGCATAATTTATCTTTTTTAAGACGCCATACCACACAGGGGTACAGGGAATTTGCTAATTTAATTTTTAGTGATCGCCATAAAATCCCTCTCTAATTTTCCGATCTACATAGAATTTTGCACAAATTATTGACGAACCCCATTGATATTGCTGACAGGTGGCCAAGATATAGCTCCAATATGTATTTTCACAAATGTGTAATATTAGCCCAAGAAGGATGGATTTTGGCTTATAAGATCTCGTGACCTGAGGATATATATCTTTCGCAAAACTTGCTTAACTTTCAAAACTTATTTTAAATTTATTCGACATATGTTCCTTGTTCATAGTTTCAAGTGATTCTGCTTCCCATATTTGAATAGCCCTTGTGTTTCCCATAAGTTTTCTTATGTTATTTAAAAAGGCTCCAAAATATTTAATGTGAAGAAAAAATAGTTTGATAATTCAAAATTCGATAAAAAAAAAACTGGGGCTGGATTCTTGTTCTACGAAAATATGAAATTAAAAATATTTCCTTTATAAAATGTTCGATTTTACATTTCATTCCTTTATAAAAATTTTCACATCCCGCTTTCATAGTAAAAGAATAGAGGCCCTGTGCTACTTTTATGTAAATAATTAAAATTTAATTTTCAAAAATATCCTTATCGGATATATAACAGCAAAGGAATGTTGTTTAATTTTTCTCAACCTATTCGTGATGATTCAAAAGAAAATTGAAAATATCTCCTGTACAATGGTTTTCCTTGGTTCCGCCTTAGGTGCCTTTTTTGCATCGGGCTTCTTCTTATTCTTATTGAGCTTCTTGGCCTTGGGTTTCTCTGGTTTTTTGGCTGGCTTCTTTTTCGGTTTCTTCGCCTTCTTCTTGGGTTTGTTCTTCGACTTTTTGTTTGGTTTTTTAGCCGGTTTTTTCTTTGGTTTCTTTTTGTTTGGTTTTTTCACTGGCGGCTTTGGTTTTGGTTTTGGCTTCGGAGTTGGTTTTTTTGGTGGCTTCGTTGGTGGTGTTGGTGCGGGTGTAGTAGTTTCGTCAGCTTCAGTTGAAATAGCTTCGGTGGCAGCAGTTTCAGTTGAAGTAACTTCGGTTGAAGAAGCCTCGGTTGAGGTAGCTTCGGTTGAAGTAGCTTCGGTTGAGGTTGCTTCAGTTGAAGTAACTTCTGTTGAACTACCTTCACTTGTACTATCCTCAGCTGTGCTTGAAATAGCTTCCGTTGAGCTAGCTTCTGTTGTACTATCTTCAGTTGTAGATGAATCGGTGGAGGTAGCTTCAGTGGAACTAGTTTCTGCTGTGGTTGTGGAAGTGCTCTCATCCGCAGCATCCTCTTCTTGTGCCTCGGTTGTTTTCTCTGAGGATTCCGTTGTCAATTCCGTAGATTCCTCCTCGCCGGATTCTGTCGTCATTTCTGTAGGTTTTCCTGTTGTTGATTGCTCTGAAGCAGGTGTTGTTGATTCCTCATCTTCCTCAGCAGTATCTTCACTTTCCTCAGCAGTATCATCCTTCGTTTCAGGGTCATCTTCGCCTTCGTCAGCAGCCTCCTCATCAGGAGTTTCTTCTGGTTTTTCTTCTTCGTCTGGAGCTTCGGTACTAGCGGGTACTTCAGTGGTACTTTCTTCAGCAGGCGTTGAGTTACTCTCATCGGGAGCTGCAGTGGAACTTTCCTCAGCAGGCGTTGAGCTACTATCTTCTGGAGTTGGAGTGGTACTTTCTTCGGCAGGTGTTGATCCTTCTTCCGTTGTTGCATCTGTTGTGGTATTTTCCGTAGTCGGTTCTTCTGTTGCAGCTGAACTTGTATCCAATGGCGTGGTACTCTCAGTTGTACTTTCCGAAGCTTCTGTGGAAGATGCTTCAGTGGATGGTGCTATACTACTGCTTTCTGAGGCGTCATCTTCAGCTGCTTCCGCTAACTGACTTATGGCGGCGAAAGCAATTATAACGAATAAAAATAATTGCGGGAACTTCATGCCGATAATTTTATAGTCTTATTACTCCAGGTAAGGACTTCGTCGCAAAGTGTCATTTGATCAAATTCGTTAGCAGTATTTATTCAAATTAAAAACTCATTCCGAATTGAAACTGTAAATTCAAAATTTCTATGGTTTGTAGGGACCCAGAAAAATTGAATTCAATTTCAATGCATAGAAAAATTGAAACAAATATAAAAACAATGTTTTACATATTTCCAATTGTTTAGAGCAATAATAAATAATTTGTTTAAGGTAAATAGGGACTTTTTTTTATTGAATTTTAATTTGTTCAATATTATATGGTTTTGTTTACCCATTTAATACAATTATGGAAAAAACGTGAACAAAAAGATTTGAATTAATTGCAATCATTAATTAATAATTAAAAACAATTAAAATTGAGTTTAAATTTTCTCATTCTAATAATTCCATTGTTAAGTTATGAGCCAATGAATATATTAAAGGGTCTCCACCCGTAACGTTTATGTAGGGAGTTCGTGAATGCGTGAAGCTTAACTTTTTTTGAAATCGTACAGCATCGTATCCTTCAAAGTATCCTTTTCTGAAATTTTTGTAAAATATAAAATGTGAACTCCTTGCCCTTTTACAAAAAAAAAAAAAAAAAAAAAAAACTCAGTAATTGACTCAAATCAGACACCAGATAAGTTTTATTATTCACGAAAGAAGCACTAATTGGCCCTTTATATATAATCTCAACTGATTCCAAAAAAATTCGGCAAAGGTATTTCTAGACTGTTTATACCCTACAGCGCTATGTGTTGAGGATATTTTAAGTTTCATTGAGCCAACAATTATGTAATACATCGAAATCTTGGTACCCGACATAGGAAGCATCTCGCCGAGGTGAGTCGATCTACAGGGTGAAATAAAAAAACTGCAACAAAGTCGAGCGCCATAACTTTTACATTTTTTTTTTTTTTTTAATTTTATTGAATGACAGCAAAAACTGTCGGAAATAGCACCAATTTTAGAATAAGTTTAGATTTGTTCGAATTATGACCTTCAAACGGCCAATGAAACCGTCACACGCTGCACGAATGTTGGTCTGCGGTATTATGACCCATTCCCGGCGAAGTGCTTGATTGTGGTGATTAACACTTTGGTATGTTTTAGTGCCAACCTTGCTTTTCAAAATATTAAAGACGCAATAGTCCAACGAATTGGTATCCGAAGATTTTAGTGGTCATTGTGTGCTGGAAATGAAGCGAGGAACCTCATCTTGCAATATTCTTGGGTGGCGCGTGTTAAGTGCGATGGTGGCGAGTGCCCAAGGCTCTAATACACCCTCAAGATTATTTTCGCGATAAAATTCGGCATTTATTCTGATGCCGCGGTCGATTAATACGGGCGGAGAGCGACCATCGGCTATTAAGGCGGCCCACACCATCACCATGACCGGCGCTTGAGTTTTGGTGGGTAACCGAAGGTGTACATTTTCAGCTGACCTCTTTGGCAAGTACAAACGATCATTTCATTTCATTTGTTTTTGTTTACAAACAGCTGAACAACGTCGGTGAAAGCCGAATTCGGCAGTTCACCACTTTCGGCCAGGCGAAGCAACTCTTTAGCTCTTTTGAGTCTATTTTCTTTCGCTGGCGGTCTAAGTTCTTGCACCTTTTGGAAATTCAATGGCTTTACCCCCACCTCATTTTTATACCCTCCACCATGGGTAGGAGGGTATATTAACTTTGTCATTCCGTTTGTAACACCTCTAAATATTCGTCGTAGACCCCATAAAGTATATATATTCATAATCAGCATAAAATTCTAAGACGATTTAGCGATGTCCGTCTGTCTGTCTGTCTGTCCGTCTGTCTGTCTGTCTGTCTGTCCGTCTGTCTGTCTGTCTGTTGAAATCACGATAGAGCCCACATTATTTGACGTAGACCTTTGAAATTTGGCACAAGTGTGTGTATTGTCCCTAGGATGGTTGGTATTGAAAATGAAATATATCGGTCCACGTTCTGGTATAGTCCCCATATAACGGTACCTCCCGATATTCGGTATTTTGATGATTTATGCCACATTTTTTCACGGATTTATCTGAAAATTGGTATTTGTAGGTCATGACGGGTCCCTGAGCGTGTGGCAAAACATTGCATGTATAGGTCCACGTTTTGGTATAGCCCCCATATAACGGTACCCACCGATATTCGGTATTTTGATGATTTATGCCACATTTTTTCACGGATTTGTCTGAAAATTGGTATTTGTAGGTCATGACGGGTCCCTGAGCGTGTGGCAAAACATTGCATGTATAGGTCCACGTTTTGGTATAGCCCCCATATAACGGTACCTACCGATATTCGGTATTTTGATGATTTATGCCACATTTTTTCACGGATTTGTCTGAAAATTGGTATTTGTAGGTCATGACGGGTCCCTGAGCGTGTGGCAAAACATTGCATGTATAGGTCCACGTTTTGGTATAGCCCCCATATAACGGTACCCACCGATATTCGGTATTTTGATGATTTATGCCACATTTTTTCACTGATTTGTGTAAAAGTTGGTATTTGTGGGTCATAATGGGTCCCTGAGCGTGTGGCAAAACATTGCATGTATAGGTCCACGTTTTGGTATAGCCCCCATATAACGGTACCTACCGATATTCGGTATTTTGATGATTTATGCCACATTTTTTCACGGATTTGTCTGAAAATTGGTATTTGTAGGTCACAACGGGTCCCTGAGCGTGTAGCAAAACATTGCATGTATAGGTCCACGTTCTGGTATAGTCCCCATATAACGGTACCTCCCGATATTCGGTATTTTGATGATTTATGCCACATTTTTTCACTGATTTGTGTAAAAGTTGGTATTTGTGGGTCATAATGGGTCCTAGCTCGTGTGGCGAAACATTGTAATTATAGGTGCACGTGTTGGTGTAGCCCCCATATAACGGTACCTCCCGATATTCGGCATTTTAATGTTTTTTGCCACATTTTTTCTAATGTTCTTTTACCCTAGGGTGGAGGGTATTAAAAGTTTGGCCCGGCCGAACTTAATGTTTTTTTACTTGTTCAATATTTACCGGATGGAATATTGCGATATGTTCAGCTAACGAATCATTTTTAAGCCACTGCGACGCGGATTTCGATCATGTCGCTCCTTTACTTTTCGAACCATTTCTGCTGTTGTTGTTGTTTTCTTCCGTCCACTTCCTTGATGTCGAGTTACGCTACCAGTATCACGGTAACGAGTGATGCTACGAGACACAAAAGAATTATTCACATTTAAATGCTGGAGTGTTTTAACTGTAGATACTTCTGGTTTTCTCGCCAAATATAAAGAAATCACACTATCACGCTTGAATTCCACCACGAATAATTTTGTTCAGGAAAATTCTCACCAAAATGCTTTTGTGCTCTTGTAAACAATATAATGAGCTGTCACTGGAATAATTTTAACAGCTGTCGGACGAGTGGCTTAGAAATGCAGTCCGAATTTGGTTGCAGTTTTTTCATTTCAACCTGTATATGTGGCCTATACGAAGGCATGGACCTGTGTAGACAATTTTCTGTCAGAGACTATAGTTTCCATTTCGAACTCTAAATATGAAATTTGATCATTCATCAACATCAAAATACCGAATATTGGGAGGTACCGTCATATGGAGGCTATACGGAGACGTGGGCCATAGACAGTAGTACCCATTATGAGTTCTAAATACGAATCGTTAAAATACCGAACATGTGGAGGTACCATTGTATGTGGGATATACGATATTATGGACTTATATAGACAATACTCTTTCAGGGGGTATAGTACTCAGAAGGACCTCCCTTTGTGAATTTTCAGACAATTTCATTGAAAAAATTTGGCTATAATAATCAAAATACCGAATATCGGAGGATACCTTAGTATGGGGGCTGTACGATATCGTGGGTGATATAGCCCATCATCGAACTTGATCTGCCTGCAGACAAAAAACTATTTTATGCAAAATTTCCTATGACTTTTGGGATTTATTGCAAACAACCTTTGACCTGTTACGATGTCGTTTGAAGGGAAAAACTAGTTTTCAAAAAAGAACCAAAAAGACCCCTTGGAAACTTTTTTTAGGTTTACATTTGTTGACAAAAAGTCTTCATATTTATACCTATAACTTAGATGTCTAATTCAATGCACCGATGCACAGTTTTCCATTTTAGCTCTACTTTCATAATGTTCTGATTTTTTCTGTAATTATTTTATATTTTGTATGCGTAGTTATTACAGAGAATTTATATTTTTAACTGCATTTATTTATTTGAAATTTATTTTGAAAAAAAGTTTTGAACCTTGTCATAAAATATTAATGTTTCGTTAAATATTCGTTGTATCTTCACACCAAAGCAAAAAAAAAGTTATTTGGATTTCAAATCAATTTATCCCTGTTTCTTGGCTTTCTTTGCCTTCTTGGGCATCTTGGGCTTCTTTGGCTTCTTAGGCTTCTTGGGTTTCTTGGCCTTCTTGGCCTTCTTTGGTTTCTTGGCCTTCTTTGGCTTCTTAGGCTTCTTGGGTTTTTTGTTTGGCTTTTCTGGTGGTGTCTCTGAATCGTCGGTGGCTGGTTCTTCAACATCGGTTGGTGGTTCAATGACATCAGTTGGTGTTTCAGCTTCCTCTTCTGGAGCTTCCTCTTCTGGAGCTTCCTCTACTGGAGCCTCCTCTTCGGGGGCTTCCTCTACTGGAGCCTCCTCTTCTGGGGTTTCCTCCACTGGAGCCTCCTCTTCTGGAGCTTCCTCCACTGGAGCCTCCTCTTCTGGAGCTTCCTCTACTGGAGCCTCCTCTTCTGGAGCTTCCTCTACTGGAGCCTGCTCTTCTGGAGCCTCATCTTCTGGAGCTTCCTCTACTGGAGCCTCCTCTTCTGGAGCTTCCTCTACTGGAGCCTCCTCTTCTGGAGCTTCCTCTTCTGGGGCTTCCTCTTCTGGAGCTTCATCTACTGGAGCCTCCTCTTCTTCGACAGGAGCTTCGGCATCGTCATCCACTACTGGCTCCGCACTGGAAGGATCAGTTGAAGGTTCAGCAGCTGGAAGAGTATTTTCTTCCTCAGGCAAGGGTGCTGCCCAAGTCAGAAGAAGCAAAGTGAATAACAAGAATATGCCAAATAGTTTCATGTTGCAGAAACAATTGATGTGTGATCAACTTTGGCCATATTCAGCCATATTTATTTGAATTCCATATGCTTCTTCTTCAAAACCACCAATCACAAACATTTGCCGACGTACGTTTCTAGATTTCCCAAAAAATATATTTTATCAAAACAATAACTTCGTTTCAAGAATTTCAAAGCTTTATGTCTGTGAAAATATTTGCGCGTTTTAAAACAAACAAAACAATAACGAAAAGATATGTCTGCAAAACAGAAATGTGGTTTCTAAGCTTTGTTTCGGAATTTAATTAAATATTTGTATTATCATTATTCGGTTTCTAGTTAATACAGTACAGTTCTATAACCCGTTATTTTGTACACGTGTCTAATGGCCCAATTCGCCGTTGCCTTGAAATTCGCAGAAATTGGGACGAAAGTCTGCTTTTTTAAAGGGTTTCAGTTTTCTTTTCTTTGTTAAAAATAACATTAAGTTGTGAGAATAACAGATGCGAATAAAATGGAATATCTTTTGTGATTTGTAATATTTTTTAATTATTTAATATATTTTTATGATGCAAAATAAATATTAAATATTGATAATTAAAACATTCATAATTTACAGGATAATTAATTAACATCAAAAACATGCACAATTTAATATTTTCGCCAGGGGTGCCGATTTGAGTTGGTTCATATCAGGGGTTCACACTTCACTTCGAAACATGGTTCGGAATGGCGGCTAAATTTATGGTTTTGGTTCGGTGCGGCTCAGTGCTATTTGTAAATCTGTAAATATGTGTAAATATATAACAGAGAAGTGACATATCTGACTAACTGAACTATAATCCACGCCCAGATGAACCGGCTGAAGCTAGAATTTTGAAATTTTGCATGAGAGCCAAACTAGATGCGTAGGCGTGATATAAGGCTGTGTTTTTGGAAATTCGCACGAAAAGGGTACAAAAAATACGTAAAAATGTACTAAAAATTGAATAATTTGCATTGGACAAACAGGATGACCTAGAATTCTGAAATTTGGAATGATAGTCACTGATGGAGTGGAGAATAAATGTACCAAAGATTACGAAAAATCCTAAATTTGCACTGAACTTTTAATATGGTAACACTTGGTAGTATATGAACGGATAGAGCTGAAAACTTGAAATTGGGTGGGAGAATCAGAATGGAATACAGAATGAGATGACAAAACTGCAACCAACTTCAGACTGCTGTCATTTCTAAGCCACTCGTCCGACAGATGTTAAAATTATTCCGGTGATAGCTCATTATATTGTTTACAAGCTTACAAAATCATTTTGATGAGAATTTTCCAGAAAAAAAGTTATTCGAGATGGAATTCAATCTTGATAGTGTGATTTTTTTATTTTTGGCTGGAAAACCACAAATGGCTATCGTTAGAGCACTCCAGCATTTATATGTGGATAAATTTTTTGTGTCTCGTATCATCGCTCGTTGCCGTGATACTGGTAGCGTAGTCCGACGTCAAGGAAGTGAACGAAAAAAAAACAGCAATATCAGCAGAAATGGTTCGAAAAGTAAAGAAGCGAATAGATCGAAACCTGTGTCGCAGTGGACGAAAAATGGCTTGAACATATCTCAATATTCCATTCGGCAATTATTAAAAAAAGAGCTCGGAATAAAGCCATTGATATTCCAAAATGTGCAAGAACTTACATCGCAACAGAGAGAAAATAGACTCAAAAGAGCTAAAAAATTGCTTCGCTTGGCCGAAAGTGGTGAACTACCGAATTTGGTTTCCTCCGATGAGAAAACATTTATTGTCCAGAGATTGTAAACAAATAAAATGATCGTGTCAACTTGCCAAAGAGGTCAGCTGAAAATGTGCACTTTCAGTTGGCCACCAAGCGCCGGCCATGGTGATGGTGTGGGCCGCCATAACAGCCGATGGTCGCTCTCCGCTCGTATAAATCGACCGTGGCATGAGAAGAAATGAATAAATATATTAAAATATTCTGGAGTGATTACAGCCTTGGGCACGCAATCATTTTGGTCGCAGACCTTGGACATTCTAACAAGACTCAGCACCATCGCAATCAGCACGCGCCACCCAAAAATGGTTACGAAATGAAGTTCCTCGCTTCATTTCCAGCGCACAATGGCCACCAAATTCTCCGGATACCAATCCGTTGAACTATAGTGACTGGAATATTTTAGAAAGCAAGGTTGGCACTAAAAAATACCAAAGTGTCGATCACCAAAATACCGCAGAGAAACATTCGGGCAGCGTGTGACGGTTTCATTGGCCATGTGAAGACCACAATTCGTGCCAAAGGTGACCAATTCGAACAAATCTAAACTTATCCTAGAATTTGATGCATCTTCCGATATTTTTTGCTTTCATTCAATAAAATGTAGAAAAAAAAAACGTAAAAATTATGACGTTTGACTTTGTTCCAGTTTTTTATCTCACCCTGTATACCCAAGTTGAAATTATTTTGTAAGATGATTTTCTACCCCCTAAATAGTCTTAATATCATAAAAAAAGTTTCGCCTTTATGCCCATATTTTCCGCAAAATCGATTGGAAAATGTGGTCAAGACAATCGAAATAGGTAAAATCGGGAGGTACCTTTATATGGGTGCTACTCCGAAACAGTGACTTACATTGACAACTTTTTTTTAGAAAAAAAGATGCCTAATAAGGGCCAAAATATTTGAAAAATGTGACCAAGACCCAGAAAGCTCCTGCGGAACAGTGAGCCGAGCTCCTGCGAAATAACGAATCGAAGCCGTTGTGTAGATAAATTACGTCTACTCAATTTAATAAGAGCTAGTCATGAAAAATGTATTCCAAGCAAACGATTTTGTTAGTCGGTGGACTGAAAATGATTCAGAAAATCACTAACTACCCCCTAGAAAGCTCCCGGCAGTAGCAAGTCTGTCTCTTTGTAAACCAAACCGAACATTATATGTGACGCGCTTTCAGAATTTTGCACATATCAGTCTTTTGTCTGCTGGCAGGATAAGTGTGAAGATGGGCTATATCGTATAGGCTGTGACAAAAATGACTTATGAAGGACCACGTGTTCGTATAGCCCCCATATAGAGGTTTTCCTTCGACGGTTTTTTTTTTTTTTTTTGGAAAATTTCAAGTCCCTTCAGAATGTTCGACCCGGCCGAACATTGCTGTTTTTTACTTGTTTTGTGTTGCACGGTGTTATCATATTATATAACGAACACTTTTATACCCTACACCACATAGTGTAAGGGTATTATGTATTTGTTTATTTGTTTGTAACATTGAGAAAGAAGCGAGATAGACCCATATACTTTTGAGGATCTTCATAGAATAACGTTCTGAGTCGATTTGTGCCTGTAAGTTTGTCTTGTCTTGTTGTGAACAAAATGCTGGTCGCATTTATTATCCGATTGAAATGAAATTTTTAAAACAATATTTGTTGGGCTCAAGGAAGAACCCTATTTAAATTGGTGATAATCGTATCAGATTTAAATATAGCTAACATAAATCTTCCACCGATTTTGATTTAATTGTGCACAAATGGCCAATATCAGTCCGAAAGACCTGAATTTTGGGCACATCCAACCGAATTCAGTCTAGAAGCAAGTACATTAATTTTGGAGAAAATCGGTTCAGATGTAGCTATAGCTCCCATGTATATGTTTCATCCGATTTGGTGTTTAAATCCCTCACATTCGTAGTTTGCAGCCCACAAGAATGATGTTTGGTATCAGATATCAGTTACAGCCCAGAAATACCTCTGCTAAGTTGTATCAAGATCGGTTCAGATTTGGATATAGCTCCCATATATATCTTTAACCGATTTCAGGTTAATTGTGCACCAAATGACCAATATCAATCCAAATGACCTAAATTTTGGCACATCCGACCGAATTCAGTCTGAAGGAAAGTACATCAAATTTGATGAAAATCGGTTCAGATATAGTTATAGCTCCCATATATATGTATCATCCGATTTGGTGTTGAAGTCGTTTACATTCGAAATGTGCATCCGATAAAAATGATATTTGGTACCATATATCTTATAGAGATTGGAAATAACTTTGCCAAATTTTATCGAGAACGGCTAAAATTTGGATATAGCTCCCATATATATCTTCAAACGATTTCGGGTTAATTGTGAATAATAGTCCATTATCAATAGTCCATTATCAGCCCAAATGTGCTGAATTTTAACTCTTCCGACGGATTGCGGCCTAAAATCAAGTGCTTCAAATTTTAGTTAAAATCTTTTCAGATATAGATATAGCTTTGATGACTTTTGATACCGGGCATCGGAAAACTTCCTATATAGCTATAGATACCTATATAGCTTTGATATATATGTTCATCCGATTTTACGGATATTGCTCCCCATATATGTAATATCAGCCCAACTTGAATAGATTTTTTCATATTTAACCGAATTTTGCCATATGGTTAAACTCGGTCCGGTATCTAGTGCTGCAATATATTCCTTACCGAAGTCGTATCATGCACTATAGCAATGGTATTTGCTTCATAGTTGTATGATCTACTTCACATAAATTCCCCGGCCCAGCCAGTTTTTTTAACCTTTCCTTACTGGTTAAAATTTATATATTTCAACAGAGTTTTTTCTAGAATGCAATAAAATTTCTTCCCTTTAAATATAAAGCTTTCCAGTAGTGAAAGCACTTCTTTGGATGTTATGTCCACATAAAGCTTAAAAGTTTAAACGTACAAACACTCAACACTCCAAATAACAGTTAAGCCCAAGACATTGTTTTGGATTATTCAAGGTTTTTAAATAAATGGCGTTGGAGAACAATTAAAAAATATTAAATAAATATAAATATTACCAAAAGATACCGAACTTCCGTTAGAATTTTTACCTCAATTCTTATACTTCAATAATCAAGAGTATTTACCAAAAAAATGGGTCGAAATAGTATTTCTATAGAATTGTCTATTTTTACTTCAAATATTTTCACAACCAAAACATCTGCAGATTGACGCATTGCTTTTCTATTTATTTATTTTTTGACAATTATAACTAAACTAAACAACTAAGTAGGCATAAATATCGCCAACTTGTAGGAACTTGCTATCAGAAGTTAGTTGTTTCTTCAAAGCCGAACTAGCTGCTAAACATGAAATTCTTTAAGATATTCCTTCTATTGGGCTTGTTGTTGGCCATATTGGGTGTGGCTGTTGCTCAGGACGATGCAGCAACAGGTGATGTAGCAACTACTGAAGATGCCAGCACTCCTGAAGAACCCACCTCTGCTGCCGAGGAAGAAGCTGCCCCTGAAGATGAAGAAGCTGCTCCCGAAGATGAAGAAGCTGCTCCCGAAGATGAAGAAGCTGCTCCGGAAGAACCTGCTCCTGAAGAACCTGCTCCTGAAGAAGCTGCTCCTGAAGAAGCTGCCCCTGAAGAACCTGTTCCTGAAGAAGCTGCTCCCGAGGAACCTTCTCCTGAAGAAGCTGCTCCTGAAGACGAACCAACTGAAGATGACGGTGCTGTAGCACCTACTGACGAAGACTCAGCCCCAGCCGAAGAGAGCCAAGCTCCAGCCCCCGCTCCTCCACAGAAACCAGCTAAACCCAGCAAGGGCAAGCCCCAGAAAGGAAAAGGCAAGGGCAGAGGTAAGGGCAGAGGTAAGGGTAGAGGTAAGGGCAGAGGTAAGGGCAGAGGCAAGGCCAAGGGAAAAGGCAAGCCCAAGAAGGGTAGAGGCAAAGCTAAGGGAAAAGGCAAAGGCAAGAAAGGTAAAGGCAAAGGTAAGGGAAAAGGCAAAGCCAAGGGCGGTAGAAGACAAGGTTAATTCAATCGCAACATAAAAATGTTATCACATTAACGTTTGTGTATTAAATTAATACTGAAATAAAATTGTAAAGCAAATCTAATATTACAGACTTTAATTTATTTAATTATTTTATCTATTATATATTTTTTTTATCTATTTTATCTTTATCTATCAATATTCTATCTATCTATTTATCTCATCTATATTCATAAAATAGTGGTGAAATAACTGGCAGACTGGATGATATTCAAAGCCCAGAATTGAATTGAAATTCTGCAAGAGATCCGACTTACTGTGCAGGCGTGTATTGAGACTGGGTGTTTGGAAATCCATGGTAAAAGTGTGCTAAAAATCCTAAAATGTACTAAAAAAATAACACATTGTATTGGACAAACAGTATGACCTAGAATTCGGAAATTTAGAATGAGAGTCACTGATGGAGTGCAGGGTTTTTTTTTTTAATTAGAACTTTGAGGTTGTGAACATTTCTTAAATGGTACTTAACTTCTAAATGAACACCATTTGTTATTATGAGAACGGATAGAGCTAAAATTTTAAAAATCAAGGTTGGGAAGTATTTTTGATATGTAATGGTGGTTCTGAAAAAGTTTAATAAGTGTGCGAACTAAATTTGGAACAGTTTGGTTGAGGTTGAACGGGTGAAGGTGGAATTTTGAAATTTCGTGTTGGGGTCCTTATTGGATGTAGGCTTGTGTCAAATGGGTGGTTTTGGAAATGTGTACTATAAGGGCACGAAAAGAACTAAATATTACTATATTTGGTGCAATTCGATATTGGTTAAATAGAAAATGCTTGAAAACAGAAATTTTGTATTAGGGGTCGCTGTTCATGTGTGGCCATATTCAGTTGGTTTCGGAAATTTGTACTATAATTGAACGAAAAGTACTGAATAGTACTACATTTGGTATTGGGTGAAAGGAAGAGATAAAATTCTGAAATTTGATATTTCGATTACTGATGGTATCTGTGTTTGAGATCTTGTGGTGGTTTGGAAATGCATCCTATATTTGTACGAAAAGTACTAAATGCTACAAACATTTGGTATTGAGTTATTGGATAGGAGTTAAATCCTGAAATGCCATATGGATGTCATTGTCACTGGTGTCTGCAGTTGAGAGAAGGAGGTTGTTTTAGAAATGCGTACTACGAAGTACAAAAAGTGCAAAATGAAACAAAATGTGTTGTTGGGTGTTGGGACAGAGCTGAAATTCGATATTGAGGTCACTGTTGTCAAACTTAGACCAAGTTTGGAGATGTACTTCTGGTACCTCCCTCACAAAAGGTTGATATTTTTGCAGGATATAATTTTACTTGTAGAAAAAGAAAAGTTCACCCAATTTTGAGCCAATTTGAAAATCCTAATATTTTTATCAGTTTCAAGCTAGGTACGAAAATGGAATATTTCGGCCCACTCCTTTAGGTACATTTCCCACAAGGGTGAACATTTTTATAAAATGTGGAATAAGAGTCCTATTGTCTTAAAATTTCGCACATCTCAACTCTATCACAATACAAGATCTGGCAACAAGAAGGGATAGAACGGACCACTCCTTTTGGTACCTCCCCTACAACGGTTCAAAATTTTGCATAATTATGTCTTTCAGAAAATCCGAAATAAGCCCACGATTATCTTCAAATTTCACACATCCCAGTAATTCAAAATTTTAGAATAAGTTAAGATTTGTTCGAATTGGTCACCTTTGGCACGAATTATGGCCTTCAAACGGCCAATAAAACCGTCACACGCTGCCCGAATGTTGCTCTGCGGTATTTTGGCCCATTCCCGGCGAAGCGCTTGCTTGAGGTGTTCAACACTTTGATATTTTTAGTGCCAACCTTGGTATTCTGAGATTTTGTTGGTCATTGTGCGCTGGAAATGAGGGGAGGAACCACTTTTTGTAACCATTCTTGGGTGGCTCGTGGTGAGTGCGATGGTGCTGAGTCCTGTTGGAATGTCCAAGGTCTGCGGCCAAAATGTTTGCGTGCCCAAGGCTTTTACACACCATCCCGAATATTTTCGTGATAATATCTGATACCACGGTCGATTAATACGAGCGGAGAGCGACCATCGGCTATTATGGCGGCCCACACCATCACCATGGCCGGTGCTTGAGTTCTGGTGGCCAACCGAAGGTACACATTTTCAGCTGACCTCTTTGGCAAATAAACACGATCATTTTGTTTGTTTACAAACTGCTGGACAACGAAATTCGGCGGTTCACCAATTCACCACTTTCGGTCAAGCCAAGCAATTCTTTAGCTCTTTTGAGTCTATTTTCTTTCTGTTGCGGTATAAGTTCGTGCACCTTTAGGAATTTCAATGGCTTTATCCTGAGCTCGTTTTCAATATTTGCCAAATGGAATATTGCGATATGTTCAGCTTACTAGCCATTTTTCGGCCTTTGCGACGCGGGTTTCGATCAAGTCGCTTCTTTACTTTTCACACCATATCTGCTGATGTTGCTGTTTTCTTCCGTCCACTTCCTTAACGTCGGGCTACGCTACCAGTATCACGGTAACGAGCGATGGTAAGAGACACAAAAGATTTATTCACATTTAAATGCTGGAATTCTCTAACGATAGCCCCTTGTGGTTTTCCAGCCAAATTGATAGAAATCACACTATCACGCTTGAATTCCATCACGAATAACTTTTTTCTGGAAAATTCTCACCAAAATGCTTATATCGCTTGTAAGCAAATAATGAATTGGAATGGAATAATTTTAATAGCTGTCGGATTAGTGCCTTAGAAATGGCAGCAGTCTGAAGTTGGTTGCAGTTTTTTCACCTCGTCCTGTATATAATACATTCAACACATAGTGTTGCGGAGTGTAGAAAATTTTAGAAAATGTGCAATTCAATATTGTAAATCAAATTTAAAAAAATCACAGGCGATAAAAAAAAATTGATAAAAATTAAAAAAAAAATCGCTTTGTCCTTTTCTGGAAAGAGACCATTACGAACTGATGATAATTGTGAAAATCAGTCCAGCGGTTCTTGATTTGTAATCGGAATAATTATCATCAATTCGTTGTACATATAGACTGTAACTATTTTGCTATATATACCCGATATCTTGGCTATCAACATCACAACAATAGTCAGAAGTGGCTTTTTAATATATTTGTGATTTCGTCGGGATTAAAAATATTCGCGGTTTTGTGGAACTTCTCGTATTTTTTCACATAAATGTTATTTTTGTTTTTTCCGCTAAATATTGTCCGATGACCGTCCAACTTATAATACCCCCAACATATAATGTAGTAGGGTATAATAAATCCATATTCTCTGCTTTAGGTTCCCAAATGCTGGTTTAAACTTAAAAAATATTGTCGGAATATTAAAAAGGTAATATTTGCAGCGTTAAATAAATTAAATTTTGTTATATTTTGTTTTTTGATTTCTGTCAGATCAGACAGTAACGTGTATTTGGTATTTCGCCGTCACTGTTTAATGAAAATGTTCTATTTTTATAAAAGTTATGGTCCATTTTCCCCTCTAAAAGTTATCCAACCAAAACTCTAACGCCATGCAACCCAACCCCTACCTAAGGGCCGGGCCATAAATGCAACCTATAGCATGGATAGAAGACATCGATCACCGAGTTGAGATAGGAAGATCCCTATATTACATCCTATGTCCAGGACCAATATTTCGAGGTGTTACAAACTTTTTGGCCTAATCAAACTTATAGTACCCTCAACACATAGTCATGACAGTTTAGATAGTTTAGAATTATCTGAATTATTAGGAAATACTTAAAAAAATCTACATTTTTGGCTTGAAAGATACTAAATCCAGATTCTATTTTTAAGTATTATTGAGCCACCAACATTGGTAGAATTTTTGGACATTATGCATTTTTAGAGCTTTAGAACTTCCTTACTCTAGTACTTCCTTACTTTTAATACGGATTTCGAAAAGCTCAGCACGCTTCCTGGCCTATATATAAATAGCAATACACCTTGTTAATCTTTTTAAAGCCGATACATTTGGCCGCTCAGTGAGGCAGTCAGTCAGTAAAATCTCTCAATAGATTAGAGGGCTTACAATGTAGAACATGTGCACAGGAATACATTATTAACTTCCCCCAAATGATATCTTTTGTTTTTAACTTCCTTATTATTAAAAATTGTGAATAAAAAGATAAATATAAATAAACTAGAGAGGAATTGAAAAATAAATAAAAAAATAATAATACAAAATAATAAGTAAGAATAAAAAATATTAAAAATGAATTATTAAAACGAAAATTAAATAAATAATAAAAAAACAAATAAAACATAGCAATAAATAAAAAATGAAGAAATATAAATACAAAAATAAATTAATAATTAAAAAATATATTTTTAATAATAAATAAAAATTAATAAATCAATTAAAAATGAAAATCAATAAAGCAAAAACAAATGAAGACAAACAAATTAATAAATTTAAAAATGAATGAGTATTTTATAAATAAAAAAAAAACATAAAAAACAAGTCAAATAAATACTTTTTAATAATAAATATAATAATATTAATAATAATATTTTAATAATATATAATAAATGAAAAGTAATAATCAATTAAAAATAAAAATTATAAATTAATTAAAAATAAAAATGTATAATACAAGGACAAATTATAAATAAATATAAAAATGAATGAGTATATTATAAATAAAATATATATATATTTATAATAAAAGCAACAAATAATTATGTAAAAGCAAAACAAAAAAATAAAAAGTAAATTTATCAAAAAAAAAAAAAAAAAATTATTTTTTTCTTTCCAATTTGTTTTAATATTCATGAAATCTTAAAATATTTTTTTATATTATTTGTTTTGAAATAACTTAAAACGGGATTATTAAAGTTTTTTATAAACGTATTTAGATTTTCAATATTAATATATTTCCTGAATATTAAACCTTAAATTATGTTTAATTTATTTTTACAATTTGTTTTGTGAAAATGAATTGCATCTTTTTAAAGGTTTTTTATATTTAATGTGTTTTTCTTCAAAAAAAAAAAAAAAAAAAAAAAAAAAAAAAAAAAACAGGAAATGTCTGAATTTTATTTCTGAAAATGTTTTGTTTTTAAATATAATTGAGATTACGTTTTTATAACGTTTTTTTATACAAATACATTTCGTGTTTTCGCTCCTTCCTTTCTTCTGTTTCCCTTCCAAATATTTAAAAACAAATATCCATTTAATTGCTCTACGAATCTCTTCCTTACCTTTTATTCTATATAAGTAACCAATTTATGGTCCTCTGTTTTTCAAATAATTTTTTATATAAAAATTTTTTCCAAAAAACAAACAAGCAAAACAAACATTCCCAAAAAAACATTTACAAATTTATTATAAATATTTTTATTTAAAAACAAAAATACTACCTTAGTGATACCAAAATCAACAGATATTTATTAATATAAACAAACAAACAAAATAAATGTTTTTTAAATTAAAAAAAAAAACTTCCTTTAAATTTTATTTTTTTGTGTTTCATTTCAGAACTAGTTTTTAGGTATCTAAGTAGCATGACAACATTACCCTACATTGCACAGCCAAACCAGATATGCATGCAGAACTAAAAACAAATTCCTTGAAACTAAATTTCAACATTTATGGGAACTTTAGTTGAAACAAAAAAAACACCCCTTATATCTTCAATTTAACCACAACAGAACATTGTTATCAAATTGCAACCCCTCTCGAGGCATGTACGTGCATATGTACTTGGATACAAAACCGGAATTGGAAGGGATGGAGAAACAGAGAACATGGTGAGATAAGGTTTGTTTACATTTTCAAAGTTCGATGAAATGGAAAAGAAGAAAATAAAAAAAAAAAAAAAAACAAAACAGGAAGACAACGATAGGCCGCATTTGTTTTCAAAACAAAGAACACCGTGGCAAAGAAACAGAATAACAACAACGACAAAATGTAAACAAACACCAAATGACGCTGACGTTTCAATTCCAATGAAAACAAAAAACAGCTGATTTCAAAGATAACAAACTCCGGCGCAGCTATTGATTTTTGGGGGTTGCTGTCGTTCGACGTTCGAGACAAAATGGCAGTTGGAACAACTTAGAAATGCACCCCCAGAGCGCAAGTACTTCAGAACAAGCAAAGCTCGTGAAGAACTAGGAAGGCTCTTAGTTTTATTAAGCGTTGTCGCCATAAAATTGAACAAGTGCAGATTATGTAGAGGCACAGAAAATCAAATGGGAACACAACCAGCAGGAAATATTAACACGGTTTTAATCTCCTCGGAAAAAAGTGAAAATAAAATGAATTTAAAATAAAAATAAAATGGAAAAAAATATTCTAAATGAAGTGCATATCTACCAGATATGAAAAAAGGTTGAAAAGTTTCGAAAAATTACCATCGTATTGCAATTCTGTGTGTGTGAGCTTTTTTTGTAAATTGTTATTCCTTTTACTTTTCCATAATAAAAAAGGCCCCAATAAATGCTGCTGGATAATAATGTACAACAATTACCCACACCCAAAATTTTTCTTGGGTCATCTAGAAACAGTGTTGTTATTGCCATTGCCTCCTCCTCCTGCTTCCCTCTCATTGCTGCTACTGTTCCAAGTGCTAACTAGTTAAACAGGGCATCCATTGAACCAAACCAACAAAAACATCCACTTAAAAGTACAAATTTCCAATTCTCGTAACCTGTAATACCTTTGGCTAACATTCGCGTCTTAATTGCGTTTGTGGGAAGACGTAGTGGTGGCATTTGACAGTTGGCCAAAATCCCCTTCCCCAGCCCCCTCACTAAACAAAAGTATAGTGCGCGACGCGTATGTATTTGGTGTGTGGGAAGATACAGTGAAATTCTTCCACCACCCGTCCTCCGACCGTTTCGCGTATCAATTAAACGTGAATTAATCAAGCCATCACAAGTTAATCAATTCAAAGCGAATAAAGTCATCAACATGGATATAAATCTCTCAATGCTGATATTGTTAAGTTTTACATTCTTTGTAATCGGTGCCGTGTTTATGCTGCTATTTCAATACTATGTGTATTTGAAATTTTCCCTGTTGCCCGAGGAGACAGCCGAACAGAAGGATATAAATGCCAAATACACACTGCCGAAGGTGAGTGCCTGCCAACCTACCAACCAATCTAACAACAAACCAACCAACCAACCCATTCATCCATCTATCCATTCTTTCTTCCATCAACCACCTCATGCATATTCAATAATTTTTAATAATTCTAGAGGGACTACACCGGGGTGCACCGAGAGGGTTATAAAAAAAGATTTCTTTTTATTTGTTTAACAACGTGCATGTGTTATGGGTTAGTGTTCCTTCGAGGATATTTTGAGGTATTTTCTGTTCTTGTGAGTTTTCTTTTGAGTGTGTTCCGTTTTTTTTTTTTTTTTGTTTTTTGTTCAAAATCAAGAGACCTCCTGGCCAATAGCTTTTGGGCTGTTTCAATTTAAATGTGTTATTTTTAGAACGTGATGTATTTGTCACGGCCAGTTTTATAGAGTATTAAATTGTTGCAAATATTTATTCAATCAAAATAAAAGCTCGACCATAGAAGGAATGCTTAAGAACATTTGTTTTTATTATTGAAATGTCAACATCTAAGGAGTTATGGCAATTTTATAATACCCTATGTTTCCTCTTTTAATAATTTAATGAAAAAACATGCTAAATCCCCCGAAATGTCAATATTTAAGGAATTATGGTCATTTTTAATTTTATATCTTACCTCTTTAAAAAAAAAAAACTAAATAAAAAAAGCTAAAAACCCGAAATGTCAATATATAAGGAGTAATGGTCAATCTAAAATACCCTATTTTAACCCTTTTGAACAACTAAATGAAAACCTTGCTAAAACCCCGAAATGTAAATACTTAAGGAGTAATGGTCATTTTAAAATACCCTATTCTTCCTCATCCAATATCTACATTTAAAAGATATGCCAATAACTCCGAAATGTAAATATTTAAGAAGTTCTTGTCATTTTAAAATACCCTATTTTTCTCTTTGAAAAACTCAATAAAATAACATGCTAGAAACCCCGAAAAGTCAATATTTTTTCCACATTTCTCTTTCAAAATCTATAGTGCAAAAAATATGCTAAAAACCCGAGATGTAAATATTTAAGGAATTATGGTCATTCTTTTCCTCTTTCAATATCTAAATGGAAAACATGGTAATAACATCGAAATGTTAAGACTTAAGGAGTTATGAGCATTTTAAGATTCCCAATTTTTCCTTGATGTACCCTACACCAGAGGAGGTATTTGTGCATTTATTTGTAATATGGAAAAGAAGCGAAATAGACCCATAGTTACCATTAAGGATTTTTATAGAACTACTTTCTGAGTCGATTTATGCATATCAATCCGTTTGTCAATGTATTTTTGTGAACAAAATGCAGGTCGCATTTATTATCCTATTGAGATGAACTTTTCCAATATTATTTGTTTGACCCAAAGACGAACCCTATTGAAATTGGTGAGAATCGATTTACATTTTAATATAACTCCTATATATATCTTCAACCAACTTCGAGTTAAGTGTGTGCCAATATCAGTCCAAATGACCTGAATCCGATTTCAGTCTAGAAGCAAGTACATCAAATTTGGTGAAAATCGGTTTAGACATAGCTATAGCTTCCATATATGTTTCATCCGATTTAATGTTTAGGTCCCTCACATTTGTTACCAGATATCAGATGCAGCCCAGAAATACATCTGCAAACTTGATCATGATCGGTTCAGATTTGGATATAGCTCCCATATATATATTCAACCGATTTCAGGTTAATTGTCCACAAAATGGCTAATATCAGACGAAATGACATGAATTTTGGAAATTTTGGTTCAGGTATTGCTTTAGGTCCCTCGCATTCGTAATACGCACTCTAAAAGAATGACATTTGTTACCAGATATCAGATACAACCTAGAAATACTTCTACCAAATTTGATCATGATCGCTTCATATTTGGATATAGCTTCCATATATATCTTCAACCAATTTCAGGTTAATTGTGCTCCAAATGACCAATATCAGCCAAAATGAGCTGCATTTTCGCACATCCCACCGAATTCAGTAAAAGCAAGTACATCAATTTTGGTGAAAATTATTCTGTTATGGTTATAGATCACATATATATCACATATAGTCCCTCACATTCGTAACATGCACCCCACAACAATGATATTTGGAACCAGATATCTTATAGAGCTCGGAAATATCTTTGCCAAATTTGATTGAAATCTGCTCAGATTTGGATATAGCTCCCATAGATAACCTTAATCCGATTTCAGGTTTATTGTGCAAATAATTACTAATATCTGCCCAAATGGGTTGAATTTCGGGACGTACGTTTATTTTCACTTCCAACAGCAGAAGAGTTTGTTTGTTCTACTACATAGGACATTCCTTGGCACTCTCAATTGTTTTTTTTTTTTTCATAATAAAGAAATAAAACTAGATTACGAAAAAATTGATTTAAAAATAAAACAAATATAATCCATTTCAATTTAAAATATTCCTAAAATCTTCAAATTTCTTTAAGTTTTTAAAATTTTTTTTTAAATCATAGACGACAGGTGCTACGAAAATCCGATCAAAATACCGAAAAAATCATCAAAATACCGAATATCGAGAGGTGTCGTTATATGGGGGCTAAACGAAGACGAGGGCTTGCATAGAAAAATTTCCGTCAGAGATTGAAGTATCCATTAAGAGCTTCCAATACGAAATGTCAAAAATACTGTCACTAAAATCATCAAAATACTGAGTGTCGGTGGGTACTGTTTTATGAGGGGGATGCGATATGGTGGACCTATATAGACAATTCGCTTCCAGGGGTTAAAGTATACTCCGTGTATGGAATTTCAAACAATTCCATTCAAAAATTTGGCTACAATCATCAAAATATCGAATATCGGGAGGTACCGTTGTATGAAGCTATAAGAAGACATGGACCTGCATGAGCAATTTTTAGTCATAGCCGGTAGTACCAGTTCAGAACTTCAAATACGAACTTGAAAACAATAACGATTAAAACTGTAAAAAAATCATCAAAATACCGAATATCGGAAGGTATCGTTTAATGGGGGTCATACAGAGACGTGGATTTGCATTTAAAATTTTCAGTCATAGGTTGAGGTACCCATTACGAACTTCAATACGAAATTTTAAAAAATTTCTGTGTATTCCGTCACTAAAATAGTCAAACTACCGGATATCGGAGGTACCCGATATATGAGTGGTATGCGATATCATGGACCCTTATAGACAATTCTTTCCCTCAGTACTCATAAAGAACTCCTTGTACAGAAGTTTAGATAATTCCATTCAATAATTCCAAAAAATGTGCCTACAATCTTCAATTAATGGGAGATATGTGATATCGTGGACCGATATAGCCAATCTTCGAACTTGCAGGCAAAGGATTGCTCTGTACAAATGTTTAGCTTTCTATCTTAATTGTTTGACTCTATCGTGATTACAAGAATATATATGCTTTGTAAGCTTTAATATTAATATTTAGATGAGTTACAAACGGATTGACGAAGTTACTATACCCTCTATACTATATTTTGTGGAGGGTATAAAAATCAGATCGATAAGAAAACGATTATTGAAACATTTTTGTCATACCTTCCATACATGTGGGACCACTGCGCTGCAGTTCCACTCAAGTTATTGTGTTTTAATTGGGTACAAACCTAACATTTTCTTTAATATCCAAAAATTGAGTTCCAACGAAATCAACATGTGTACCTTCAGCTTTGTTCCTGAAAAATTTATTGAAAATTAAGAAGGAGGAAGTTTCCTTAAAATAAAACGTGAATTTCTTGACGAAGTTTTTGAAAAACATTTCATAAAAAACGTTTTTTTACATAAAACTTTATTTTTAAAAGGAGTTTCATTTAAATATAAATTCATGACGTTCTCTAAAACAATTCCTTAAAAAGTATGATATTTTTAAGGATATTTCTTTAGAAAATTCTTGATATTCTTTTCTAAAAGTTATATTTCTCAAAAATCCATGAAGAAATTTCTTAAAAAATTACAATATTTTTAGATGAAATTTCCTGATACCTCAAAGCATTCCTTTAATAAATGTCCATATAATTCCAATAAAATGACGATATCTAGCGAAAAATTATATTCAAGATGTATAAGAAATCTCTCGATGAGGTTTCTTGTCCAGTGGAACACTAAAATATAATACCATAAAAATAATTTACTATCCTCACACCCTTTACTATTTTCATTCATATTATATTTACCTCTTCATTCTCTCGTTATTTTTGCAGGCACTACATCAGACAGCACGTACCATCAATCAAACACCATCTGCGGCAGCAACGGCAAATGCCTCCTCTGGCGGTGGTAGTGGCGGTGGCACAAAGGATGCCGATGCATCGTCGTTGATGTCATTGAATTTTGTTATGCAGTTCCTATTTCACGAATTGAAAAATTCAAATCGCGTGCGAAAGTGGTTTTATCGAAAACTTTCGCTGGAGTTGGACGAGCTGATAGCAAAAACAACAACAGGAAAATTATTCGACAAATTAACGGTACGTACGTGTCCTTTGTTGGCACTTTCAATGCTGAGTAAAATTATTACAGCAGCATGGCATGGCATGTAGCAGGTATTCATATATGAATGTGTATTCGTAATAAATATGACCTATGGGAAATTACTGGGTGGAGAAGGTTACTGCATACAAAAGTGTTTAGATGTACTGGCATTGTTGTCATCACTGTTGTGTGAGACTTCCATTTAACACAAGGTGAAAAATATGAATTTTTTAGATTCGATAATTTTGGAAGTGCTAGAGTCCGGAATTTCTGATACTTTGACAGTGCAGGTGTGAAGGATATATGAAGGAATCCGATCAACAAAAATTATGATAGCACTAAGTGATACAAGTGAGCCAAAATATTTACGAAAATGATAGAGTTGAATAGAATTCTAAAATGTTGATTATTGTTGGTGCGTAGATGGAGATAATTTGCTAAATGCTAATACATGCCGCATCTTAGGATTTACCTCAAATGTAAATATTCTGTCTCATATTTAGGGCAAAGGTAATGATAGAATTTCGATATTAGATACCCAAAAGGGCCCTGTGATGCTTAATATATTCGACCAAAATAAGCCTCACATTGTTATCTGTAATATTGACGAAGACATTATACAGGGTGTGCTAAAAAAATGCAACAAAACCAAATGCCAAAATTTAAAATTGTTCTTTATATCCTACACCACATAGTGGTAAGGCTATTATGTCTTTGTGCATTTGTTTGTAATATGGAGAAGGAAGCAAGATAGACCCATAGTTACTTTTGAGGATTTCCAAAGAATCACTTTCTGAGTTGATTTATGCATGTCCGTCCGTCTGTCCGTCGGTTCGTCTGTCCATGTATTCTTGTGAACAAAATGCAGGTCGCATTTATTATCCGATTGAGGTGAAATTTTTCACAAATCATTTGTTTGGCCCAAGGACGAACCCTATGGAAATTGGAGATAATCTGTAAAAATTTAGATATAGCTCCCATATATATCTTCGTCCGATTTGCCTTTTATTGTGCACCAAACGTGTAATATCAGCCCGAATAGTATAGAATTTTGCACATACAACCAAATTAGGCCTGAAAAAAAGTATGTTAAACAACAATATTTGGAAAATATATCAAATACAGCTCAGAAATACATTTGCTAAATTTTATCGAGATCGGTTCAGATTTGGATATATCTCCCATATATAACTTCGTTCCAAACGTCTAATATTTGCCCAAATTTGGATTGGATTTAGATGAAATTTGGCACTTACGACCGAAAAACAAAAAAATCTATTGAAAATTCTGTTAAAATTTTAACAATACCGAACATAGTCATATGCATACGACGACATGGAACTGCATATACCACTTTTGTCATAAGCCATTACAATATTGGAATGCGAAACTTGAAAAAATCGATTAATAATGTAGCTAAAATCCTCAAAATACCGAATATAGGGAGGTGCCATTATATGGGGGTTATAGGAAAACGTGGACCAGCACAGACAATTTTCTATCATGGGCTGTAGTATACATTACGAACTTCAAATACCAAATTACAAACAATTCGGGAAAGAATGTCGTTAAAATCATCAAAATACAGAATATTGGGAGGTGCCTTTATAAAGGGGGCTATACAACGACGTGGACCTGCACAGACAATTTTCTTTCTCAGGCTGTGGTATCCATTACGAACTTCAAATATTAAATTTGAAACAATTCCGGTAAATATTGTGGCAAAAATCATCAAAATACCGAATATCGGGAGGTGTCGTTATATGGGGCCTATGCGAAGGCGTGAACATGCACTGGCAATTTTTTGTCATTTCCGGTGAATAATGTCGCTTAAATCAACAAAATACCGAATATCGGGAGGTGCCGTTATATGGGGGCTATACGAAGACGGACAATTTTCTGTCATAGGCTGTAGATGTGCATGGACAATTTTCTGTCATAGGCTGTAGCATTTATAACGAACTTCAAAAACCAAATTTGCAACATTTCCGGTGAATAATGTCGTTTTAATCACCAAAATACCGAAAATAGGGAAGTATTATTGTATGGGGGCTATACCAAAACGTGGAGCTATATCTCCCATTTCCAATACCAAAAGTCCTGCAGACATAATATACATTTGAGTAAATTTTTATTAACCTACTTCATTTCATTCGGAAACTAGAGGGAATTCCACAGACGGACGGACAAATCGACTTAGAATTTTATGGTGATCAAGAATGTATGGAAGGACAAACTTAATATATACTCTGGTGAAGGGTATAAAAACTTGTCTTTAATTCGATGACATTAAAGTTTACACAATGATACGATTTCTTTATTCATTACCATAAATAAAACTTCCATCCATTCATTCATTCACTCGTTTGTCTTCCATTCAAAAGGACGAACAATATTTTCGGCATTTTCAATAGTTTACCTTATCAATGAGTCACAATCCTTTAAAGGCCATTGACAAAGAACTTCAAACTATTATGACAAAACGCAAGCAACCGTATGCCACAAAAGCTAACAGGACACAAATCTGTGCGGTTATTGATGGTCGTCTTTTGTGAAGGGAAAGTGAAAACGCTACACGTTACAAAACTTTCCACATAAGCTGATTTATGGTTTGATATTCAACTTTTTAATTTCCCTCAGCATCAGAGGACAAACAAAAGTGAAATGTTTTCATTGTAGAGTAGACCAGCAGCAGCAGCAGGAGCAGTAGCAGCAGCAGTGCTGGCAAGCATCTAAAAATAGTTGAATACAAATTGTGTTTATTCAGCTGGAAGCCTTTTGAAATTCAACTAATTTTGCACTCAACTCATCTACATTCAGGATGATGTGGGTTAATAGAAACAATGCCATTGTCGTCATTGTCATCGTTGTTCTAAGAGAATGGACGAAGGACGTAGAGCTTGTTATAAACACACACACTCACACACACGCACGCACGTTCACTCACACAAACCTACTGAAGAATCCTTAAACATGTTGTGTTTACTGTTCTTTTTTCTGCTCGTTTTCCTTTTCCTTACACCACAACCGCTCATCCTCTTCTGCTTCCCTCTTATAACTTCATGAGTTTACAGATACGAATTTCGATCAAAGATATTGTGTGCACCATTATGTCTTCTTTGTGTGTGTGTGTGTGTGTGTGTGTGTGTGTATGTCATTCCATTCCAGTTTTCTTCCCTCGTTTTGCACTTTTGCTGATGAAAAATGAAAGCTGAAGGCAATCGTAACTGTAACGTGGTGAGTCAGGCAGGAGCTGGTGCAATACTTGCACGTCAAGCTTGTTTATAGTTAACTTGTTGTGTTCCTCCTCATACCGGTCTTCCTTCGTTTCTCGTTGCTGTCATTCGCACTATTCATATTCTGACAAATATCCTTAGGTTGTGCAGGATATAATATGGAATGTTATTATAAAATAAATATAAACAAATGCTGTAATGAAAATTGTTCACTCGCTCTCGCTCTTTCCCTAAACACACGAAAACAGAACTTTGTGGTAAATGCACTTGAAAGTAAAATTAAAAAATAGCTTCCAGCTTAAAAATGCGCAAAAGTGATTCATTTTGTGTGTGGGGGCAAAGTCAGAAATGTTTGTAGTCAAAATTTTTAAAAGGCAAATTTAATTTAGCATTTTGTATAAAGATGTGGGAAGATAACTAAAATCGGACGGAGATAGCAGTTAGTATAGTGCACCGATTTCGAAATTTTAAATAGTTGGACTCAGATTGTAAATGGGAGTAATTTAAAGTAACACTGAGCCACAAAATTCAATTTTTTCAATAATTACGAAGAAAATTCAACAGATTTTGAAAGCAGAGTTGAATAAAAAAATTCTATTGAATCCAGCCGGGTCGAGCTTTTTATACCCTCCACCATTTGGAATTTAACTCATGTAAAAATATGTCTGTAAATGCTGAAATTACAGTATTCTGGGATATGCGTCAAGTCTGTTATTACGAACAATTCTGTGGAAAGTTGACTAAAATCATCAATCGATCGGATAGATATAGAATTTGTTCTATATAAGTAGACGAACCCATTGCGGAATCCTAATGCAGAAACTTTTGTAATTCCGTTAGAAATTGTTGCTACAATCCACAAAACACCAAATAACGGGAAGTATTTTTATATTTGGGGACATAAGAAAAAGTGGGCCCATATAGGCAATGTTCCGCCTCAGAAGGTCGAACATATTATAAATTCTAAGTTACGAATTTTAAACTTTTCCGTTAGAAAGCGTGTGTGAAAAGTATCAAATACCAGTGGCACCTCAATGTGGGAGGCAAATCTAGACAATATTGTGTCACATGTGGTAGAACCCATTACAAGCTCTAAATACCTAATTTTTAACTATTTCGTTAAAGAGGAGGTAGATCCTATTACGAAATCTAAATATCGAATTTTAAACTATTCTGACGAAGTACCGAATGTGGGGAGGGGGTTCAAGTATATTAAGGCTATACGTTGACCAATGTAGTTCATCTTCGAACTTTACCAGACTATAGGCAAATGACAACTCTATGCAAAATTTTAGCGTTTGGACTCTAGAATGATTACAAGAGACGGGCGGACATGTATACCCTCCATACTATCTATGTGAAGGGTATAAAAACGTAGAGGGTGAAGGTTTCCCCATCTTCCACATTTTTGGATAGGTTCGGATTAAGCAATGAAAATGCAAGGAAAATACGAATAATATTTTTGCGCAATATATTAACCCTCATGCTAGACAATAAATTGGTCTTTTTGGTCCTTTTTAAAAATATGACTGAAAACCTCTTTTAAACAGGTTCGTAACAAGTCAATAGGTCCTAGAAGACGTCAATCGTCTAAATCTTACAATTATAGGGTGAGATAAAAAGAACTACATCAAAGTCAAACGCCATAATTTTATTTTTTTTTTTTTGTCTAAAAATTGGTACTTGTCTAAAAATTGGTACTTGTTGGTCATAATGGGATCTGGCTGTGGTGTATTCGTCCATACACATTATTTTTGCCACATTTCTTTGCGGATAAGTGTATTTTTTTTTTTTTTTTTTTTTTTTTTTTTTTTTTTTTTTGGTATTTTTGTGTCCTAATGGGTTCTAGCTCCGTTTCCGAAATATTGTATGTATAGGTTCACGTTTTTTATTGCCCCATATATTTTTATGATTTTGCGACATTTTCTCACGAATATGTCTAAAAATTGGTATTTGTGGGACACAATGGGTTCTAATGTTTGGCCCGGCCGAACTTAATGTTTCATCCAATTCTACTTGATCTGTAGAACTCAAGGACAGGATTTTTATGTGCAGTTGAGTATAAATACAAAATAAATCAACCCCCTCCATCTGGTACCTCCCCCACAACGGCTCACAATTTTGAATAATTATATCTTTTATAAAATTCGAAAAAAAAATCTGATTCTTTCAATGTTTTTACAAACAAAAAATATGGTGTGAAAGTGATAGATGTCGGCTTACCCGAAACAAGTCAGCCAGAAAAGAATTCAAACTTGGAATATCTAAAGATCTATCTAAAATCGTCAAAATACCGAATATCGGGAGGTACCGTTATATGTGGGCTATACGAAGACGTGGACCTGCACAGAAAATTTTTCGTCTTAAGTTGTAGTATCCATTAAGAACTTCAAAGTCCAAATTTGAAACAATTTCGGTGGGAGGTACAGTTATATGAGGGCTATACGAAGACGTGGACCTGAAGAAATTCCGGCGAATAAGGTTGCCAAAATCATCAAAATATCGAATATCGGGAGGTGTCGTTATATGGGGGCTATACGAAAGCATTTACTGCACGAATGTCATAGGCTGCAGTATCCATCACGAACTTCAAATACCAAATTTGAAAAAAATCCGCTGAATAATGTCTCTTTGGTCACCAAAATACTGAAAATAGGGGGTACCATTATGTGGGAACTATACCAGAACATTAACCTATCGAGCCCATTTTCAATACCAAAAGTCCTGCAGACATAATATACATTTGAGTAAAATTTTATCAACTTAGTTAATTTCGTTCAAAAGTTACAGTAATTTCCACAGACGGATAGACAAACGGACATCGATAAATCGACATAGAATTTTATGCTGATCAAGAATATATTTACTTTGGGGGTCTAAAATGTATATTTCGAGGTGTTACAGAGGGAATGACAAACTTAATATACCCTCCATACTATGATGGAGGGTATAAAAATAGGTAAAATTTACCACCACTTCATTGAGTACGACCCAAATTTTCATCTCGACAATTAAAGGACTTATTGAGAGACGAGATCTATTTGAGGCCGACCAAATAAAAAACCTGCGTGGCTACAATATATTCGAATTTATGTAAAGAATACCTATTTTTTGATATAAATAAATGCATCTCTCCAAATAAAAATCGTCCTTAAACACTTAAACGTTATACCCTATTAACGGAATAAGCATTCCTCCAATTATAAGTCCGCTGTAAAACTTTATTTGTCTCATTATCCTTTGAGCTTTGAGTACACAAACAATTAACGGCGCTCTCTATTCTTTATGTGTTATTAGACGACAAGCTATTGTCGCTATGGCATTGTGGGGACCATAATGTGTGCTAAACTTGTCGCAAACGTTTTGTGTTGTTGTCATTGTCAGCTAACAACAACAGCAACACTAACATATACATGCAAACATCGTCTGCCATTTAAGTGTAAAGGTGTTAAATTGTGACAGAAATTGGTTCTGTGATGTTTTCCCATTAGGTTTTGTGTTTAAGACAGGCAGGCTGACAGACAGCCAGCCAGCTGCCACTGTTGCTCTTCTCTCGCAGAGGAATGAATGATAAACTAAATATGTGGGGGAGGGGATGCCAGTGTGCAGGAGGCTCTTCGATACTAATTATATTCATTGTTGTTCACTTGTGTTTGTTGTTCACATATTTTTCTTGCAGATTAAACAACTTGAACTGGGCGATCAATTTCCGGAGATAAAAACCCTAAGAGTTCACAATATTGAGCTAGATGAGAGCGGTGAACGTATTGAGAATTTGGATTTATTAATGGAAATTCATTACATGGGCAATTTCCGGACATCTATTGATGCTGATATGGTGCTGGGCAAAAAGGGGTCACTAACATTGAAGGGTAAGTAAGTGGGGAAGAGTTGTTGGAGTTCATGTGTATTATTTGTTTTTCTTTCTTACTTTAAATGCGATATCAAAGAGAATGAATGGCATGCTGACCTACATAACTTTTGCAGATTAGGATGATTAATGATGATGTTAGGAAGGGAAGTCTTACCTCCTTGAGTTTGTTTTTATAAAATCTCTTTTGCGTTTTGTAATATTATACAAAATGAATGTTATTTATTTGTTATTGTTATTTAGAAATGTAATGCGTCAGTCTATAGGGACACACGGCAACCTTTCTTGGTTTTTTGCTTATGATGTCATACACTGGCATGTAATTTGTATAGAACATTCCAGATAATAGATAAAGATTTTCAATATAATAGTTAACATAAATCAAAGATTGAAATTAAATCCGGGGGGAAATGACTTGCTGTTGTATTTATTCTTCACACATATATAACGTGAAGAGATTGCGGGCAGAGAACTTTCCTTAATAAGAAACCAGTAAAGAAGGACTTAAAGTCAGGCAGGGCCGACTTTATGATACCCTACACCACTTTGCTAATTTAGTAGAGCTCCGCATAACAATTAACAGTTTTTTTATGGGAGAAGTCAAACATACACGCTATGATTATAATTATAATTTAAAGTTCAAAAGACTAAATATGCCGAAGCATTTGTATATTTTAAATTCAGACTTGTATTGCCCATTTGGTGCACAATTAATTCGAAATCGGATAAAGATATATATGGGAGCTATATCCAAATCTGAACCGATCTCGATAATATTTGGCAAAGATATTTCTGAGCTGTATTTCATATATTTCCCTGAATATCGTTGTTACGGAGTGCATATTACGGCTGCGGAGGACAAAAATAACAAATCGGATGAACAATATATATGGAAGCTATAGCTATATCTGAACCGATCTTCACCAAATTTGGCATACTAGCTTCTAGACTCAATTCGGTCGTAAGTGCCAAATTCCATCCCATTTGGACAAATATTATACGTTTGGTGCACAATAAAAGGTAAATCGGGCGAAGTTATATATGGGAGCTATATCCAAATCTTAACCGATCTCGATAAAATTTAGCAAATGTTTTTCTGAGCTGTATTTGATATATTTCCCCAAATATTGTTGTTACAGAGTGCATATTACGCCTGCGGAGGACAAAAATAACAAATCGGATGAACAATATATATGGGAGCTATAGCTATATTTTCAGGTCCAATCTGATCGTACGTGCAAAATTCCATACTATTCGGGCTCATATTACACGTTTGGTGCACAATAGAAGGCAAATCGGACGAAGATATATATGGGAGCTATATCTAAATTTTGACTGATTATCTCCAATTTCAATAGGGTTCGTCCTTGGACCAAACTAATGATTTGTGCAAAATTTCATCTGGATAGGGCAATAAATGCGAACTGTACTTTGTTTACAAAAATACATGGACAGGTGGACGGACGAACGAACGGACATGCATAAATCGTCTCAGAATGTAATTCTATGCAGATCATCAAAAGGAACTATGGGTCTATCTCGTTTCCTTTTGCCTGTTACAAACAAATGCACAAAGACATAATACCCTGACCACATTGTGGTGTAGGGTTTAAGAATTAGATCAAGAACAAGTTTCGTCACAAAGCTATGCCGCATGACTTTAGTTATTTTGAGTAATTTGCAAAACAGGCATCATGTATATCTTGTTCGAACACTAGGGAATACTTGGTGTACTAAAAGGTACCAACTATGGTACTATTGGTATAAGAAGAGCTAGATTCCGAAATGTTTATACCCTACACCCCACTGTGTTCAGGGTATTATGTCTTTGTGAATTTGTTTGTAGCATGGAGAAGGATTCTGATACAATCTTCTGGGGATAGAATCACTTTCTGATTATTTTTGCATGTATTTTTATGAACAAAATGCAGGTCGCATTAATTGTCCGATCGAGATGACATGTTCCATGCATAATTTATTTGACCGAAGGACGAATCATATCTAAAGCGTTGATAATCGGTATAAATATAGCCCTCATATATATCTTCGGCCCAAATTCGTTCCAAACAATATTCGTTCAACAAAGTCAAACACCATAATTTTTATAAATTTTTATACCCTACACCATACTATGGAGGGTATATTAACTTTGTCATTGCGTTTGTTTGTATCTCCTCGAAATACTCATGTAAAACCCAACAAAGTATATATATATTCTTTATCAGCGTAAAATTCTATGTCGATATAGCGGTGTCCGTCTGTCTGCCTGTCTCTCTGTTGTAATCACGCTATCTTTCGAGCCAGTCGAGATAGAAGGCTAAAATTTTGCAGATTTTTTTTTTGCAGGTCAGGTCACCTTTGGCACGAATTATGGCCTTCAAACGGCCAATGAAACCGTCACACGCTGCCCGAATGTTGCTCTGCGGTATTTTGACCCGTTCCCGACGAAGCGCTTGCTTGAGGTGATCGACACTTTGGTATTTTCTAAGTGCCTACCTTGCTTTCCAAAACACTCCAGACACAATAGTCCAACGTGCTGGAAATATAGCGAGGAACCCCATTTTGTAACCATTCTTGGGTGGCGCGTGCTGAGTGCGATGGTGCTGAGTCCTCTTGGAATGTCCAAGGTCTGCGGCCAAAATGTATGCGTGCCCAAGGCTTTAATACACCCTCCAGAATATTTTCGAGATAATATTAGGCATTTATTCTGATGCCACGGTCGATTACTACGAGCTGAGAGGGACCATAGGCTGTTATGACGGCCCACACCATCACCATAGCCGGCGCTTGAGTTCTGGTGACCAACCGAAGGTGCACATTTTCAGCTTAGCTCTTTGGCAGGCAAACACGATCAACTGCTGGACAACGAATGTTTTCTCATCGGAGAAAACCAAATTCGGCAGTTCGCCTCTTTCGGCCAAGCGAAGCAACTCTTAAGCTCTTTTGAGTCTATTTTCTTTCTGTTTCTGGAATTCCAATGGCTTTACCCGAGCTGATTTTTCAATATTTGCCGAATGGAATATTGTGATATGTTCAGCTCACCAGCCATTTTTCAGCCACTATGACGCGGGGTTCGATCAAGTCGCTTCTTTATTTTTCGAACCATTTCTGCTGATGTTGCTGTTTTCTTCCGTCCACTTCCTTGACGTCGGGCTACGCTACCGGTATCACGGTAACGAGCGATAGGACGAGACACAAAAGATTTATTCACATTTAAATGCTGGAGTGCTCTAACGATAGCCATTTGTGGTTTTCCAGCCAAATATAAAGATCACGCTTGAATTCCATCACGAATAACTTTTTTTCTGGAAAATTCTCACCAAAATGCCTTTGTAGGTTTGTAAACAATATAATAAGCTGTCACTGGAATAGTTTAACAGCTGAGTTGCTTAGAAATGACAGCAGTCTGAAGTTGATTCCAGTTTTTTCAACTCAGCCTGTATTTCAAAAACCACCTTCAAATCTCTACCCTATACACGAACAAAGGCTTTCAAGAGCAAAAAGTCATAATCAATGACCATAAATCGGGCATTCTCTAAGAAAACAAATCGAGAATCTCCAGGACAAAATTCAGAAATTTTTTATAAAACATTTTTTGTAACAATAATTTTTTTCTTCCAGTTAAACAACTTTCCGGTCTGGCCCGATTACAATTCACCCGTAACCCATACACACACTGGTCGCTGAGTTTTCTTGGAGATCCCGAGCTAGATTTGGCAATCGAATCACGTTACCAGGGCCGGCAAATGCAATCGAACATTACCAGTCTTATATCGAATCAAATACGCAAAGCCGTGCGACGCAAGCACACCTTGCCGAATTACAAACTGCGCTACAAGCCATTCTTCCACAAGACACCCGAGGAGGATGTGGGCGAGGGCGATATACAACCCAACGGTATGCTGGAGGTTAAAATTTCCGAAATATCACGTCTTATGTGTCCCACGCACCTGACCGACATCTATTGTACGATTACGATGGCCTCGTTGGCCTTCGTGGAAGCCTGGCAACAAGATGATCGCCATGTGAAGGTCTCATTAGACGTGGAAATTCATAAGGCCAAGAATCAGCAAATTGGCATTATATTCAAGCAGTCAGCTGTCGATTGTGTGGAAATTGAGGCTGTATTACCAAATACTCCGGCGTGTAAGTCGAACCTTAAGGTGGGCGATATTCTGCTGGCCATTGAGGGAAAGCGTGTCAGTTCGATACAACAGGTGGCGAAAATTATCAAAAGTTTACAGGCCAATGTGTTTTGTTTGCGTATCGATCGAGTGATACCGGGCATTATACGTAACGATGCCATTTTGGAGGATTTGGATATTTATGAGGATTTGGGAGATGCCCGTTCGGGCTATGGTACAACGCCACAAAAGACACCCGAACCGTTGGCCGCCGCACCAGTCAGTGCCATACGTCCAACCCCGATGGCGGAAAAGAACACCAGCAGTGAATCGAGTCTAAGTAATACACCCACAAATTCCCCCAAAAAGACAAAGCTGATAGCCAAAGCCCTCAAGAAGACCATTAGTCGTGACCACGGCGATGGCTCGTCGAAAGATGACGACGGCAAACTGAAACCATCAAAGTTGGCTGCCAAGCAGCAACTGAATTTACCCAAAGTTCCTTCACGAACCAATTGTGAAAGTCTCCTGGCCAACTTGTTACCCACCAGTATGACCGCAGCCTCCGGAGTCCATGATGTGGAGCACTACTATCAACATTCGACGGTGGACTGTAAGCTGTCACGGCTCATTCACATGGAGGATATTTGTAATTTCAAATTGGATCCGCATTGTCGTTATTTGAATATTTCCGTGTATGGCAAGTGTGTGGGAGAGAATCAGCTGCTGGGTTTCACCAACATTCCGATTTATCAAATTCTAGCGGAGTGTTGTGAGACTAGTTTAAGCCAGAGCTTTAAGACCTATGAATTAAATCCACCCATGCCGGAAGATTTGTGAGTTCATGCCATTGAAGTATCCTCAATATTTTAAAAATTTCATGGAGTTCTTTTTTTAATTTAGAAAAAATCATTGCCTATCCTCTCAGTCGGGTTTTAATCCAAATCTATGTTTTGGCGACATTTTGCTGGCCTTTACCTGGGATGGTAATCCAAATTTATCGACAACGGAAACTCCATCTAAACAGCAGACGAAGACAAAATCAAAGTAAGTTGTCGGTCATGAAATTCATTTGAATCCAATAATGAAAGTGTTCTCTCCCCCCTCACTCCCCTAGATCCATTAGCTCCGTGGACAAAACCGATGATAGCGGCTACTCTGACAATATTTCCATTAAATCCACAGATACCATATCCTCTCAGCCACGTGCCCACAACTTTGTTCGCACCCATTTCCAAAGGGCCACCCAATGTGATTTTTGTGGCAAGAAAATCTGGCTCAAGGATGCTATGCAGTGTCGTGAATGTTTCATGTGTTGCCACAAGAAATGTATCAACAAATGTCAGAATGCCACAGTTTGTGGCCCGGTGGATTGTTCAACAGCCCTGCAGACACAAACACAGACGCCTCTGGTACAAACACCAGAATTTATGGTAACTGAAGCAGATATTGATGTGGCAGTAGAACCAGATTGTGACAATATTTCCAATGCTGGTGCTGAAAATGGGACAAAGGCGAATGCCACATCCGGCAGCAGTGGCACCACAAATGCCACAACTCCAAACAACTTGGAGGTACATCGTTCAAGTTTGACCGGATTATTGGCACAGGGAATTAAGCGGGTGAATTCCGCCAATAATCTTGCCATACCTGGCATAGTATCGACAATAGCTGGAGTTTCGAGTAGTTCGACAGCGGCGGCGGCAACATCAGGATCGGCAAGTGGCAGCACCACAGCGACACCAAGTTCCATGGCAAAAAGTTTACCACCAAGTCCCCAGCATACACCATGTCGGTAAGCTTGTCTCACAATTTTTTTTTTTTTTTTTTTTTTGAATAAATAACTTAGTTTTGAAATTTTCGTTTTAGGAAAGCATCGTTAGCACCCTCGGCCCCAAATACATTCGATTTAGTCACCCAGCGTTTGGAAGCATTGCCCGTTGATGTTCCCAGTTTTACACCCGAACAAGTGGTCTCGATTACCGAACATATTATACAATTGTCCATCGACGAGGATGTCATGAGTCTGGCTAAAAATGCCAGCAAACAATTGTACAGTAATTTGAGCGGAAACGAACGGGTCGAGAAAATCAATTTACTGGTAAGAGGCGTTAGAGGCTAACCAAAGACCTCAGATCAAATAAGCTAACAAGTTAGGAAGTATCAATATTTAGATATTCTTCGTAGGCCCCATAGAAATATATATTTATGAGCACCATAAAGTTTTAAGCCAATTTAAAGATGTCCATCTGTCTGTTTGTCTGTTGAAATCTCGATACACTTCCACAATATTTGACGTAGAGCTTTGAAATTGGCATAATATTTTGTATTCTGTCTAGAATGGTTGGTATTGAAAATTAGAAATATCGGAAAGGGTTTATGTATAACCCCCATATAATGGTACCTTCTCATATTATATATTTCATTGCCACAGATTTGTCTAGAAATTGGTTTTTGTAGTTCGTAATGGGTTCTAACTCAATTGACTGAACATTGTATATGTAGACCCAGGTTTTTCTGTAGCAATTATATAATCCGGCCCCTTCAGATATTCGGTATTTTATCGATTTTAGCCAATTTTTCTATTTTTGTGAAATCTGGTATTTGTAGTTAACAATGGTTTCTACAACCAGTGTCAGAACATTGTCCATACTGGTTCACGGTTGTTATACCCACAGATATTCGGTATTTTGATGATCCTGGTCACATTTTTCTATGGACTTTAAAACTCGCAATAGATAACAACCCTTGTATTATAAAATTGTCTACATCGGTTCCCGTTTCGGAATGGCTCACATATAACGACTCGTATTATTGTTTTTTGAAAACATTCACTGCATTCTCAAAGTGATATCACTGATATTTACAGTTTACAGTGGAACACGTTTGACTTCAAATACGTTTATATAAAAATGTTTTCTTTAGCTAATGGTGGAGCCTATTTAAAGCTCGAACTAAATGTTCTTTAATTGTTATTTATTAAGTTCGTTGATAGTATAGGAGGTACTGGGAAAATGGTTCAACATACCCATTCATACCAAAACTTAGTAGACTATTATGGAAGGTGTGTTATGTTCGTCATTCCGTTTGTAGCTTGTCGAAATAAACATTACTCAAATGTATCTTAAGTCCATAGAATTTTAGGTTTTGCGTTTTTTTTTTTCACAATTTTAATTCGAATTCACCATAAATTTTCAATTTGTATTTCAAGTATGTAGAAAACAACCTTGCAGATAACTTGACACATAGTTCCAAGTTTTGGTCCTCAATCACAATTTTCGCCGGAATGTTTTTATACCCTACAACACTATGGGTTGGGTGTATTATAAGTTTGATTGGGCCAAAAATTATGTAACACCTCGAAATATTGGTTTCCCACATAGAAAGTATATATGGATCTTCCTATCTCGCCGAGCTGAGTCGAGCTAGCTATGTATGTCCGTCCGTCTGTCCGTCCATGTTAATTTGTAATCAAGCTACAGGTCGCAATTGTGGCCCTATCCTTCCGAAATTGAAAATGGAGGTGGGTTAGGGTCAGAATAGAACCCTATTGTTTTTGGAGATGATTGCAACATATTTAGGGGTTGAAATGGACCAAAAACAGAAAATTTTCCTGATTTTGCAGTTGCTCTGTAGGCCACAATTTGAACCAAATGACGCGGAAATTTGCATGGAGTTAGAGTTTAGGACTGGACAGAAGCCCACCAATTTGGGCGCCCATCGGACAATATTTAGCGGGTAAAATAGACCCTAACTTTTATGTAAGAAAATAGGACAATTTCCATTAAACCGCGATCATTTTTAACGCCAGCCAAATCACAAATACATTAAAAGGTCACTCCTAACCATTACAGCGATGCAGATAGCCAAGAAATCGGATATATGTAGCAAAATAGGAACAAAATATATGTAAAAGAAAGATATCGTATTTATTTTGCTTCTAAGTCTAAGTCAAGAACCGCTGGGCCGATTTTCACAATTCGCCTCAATTTGGAATGGTCTCTGGCGAGAAAAGTATAAAATCTAAGAAAATCGCGGAAAAATATACCAATAAATGAGTGAATATCTTTTGTTCCATTTTTTTCAATTTTTGTCATATTTTTATCGCATGCGATTACATGGGGTTGCGTTAGGGTCAGAATTAAAGCTTATTGTTCTTAAAATGTACTTTTTCTAATTTGTAGTCGCTCTATAGGCGACAATTGAAAACTAATCAACACGGAATTTCGCATTACAAGAGTGTTAAAGACAATGAAGAAGTCCAGCATCCAAAATGCTATTGGATTATATTTCACTATAAAACGGACCACAACTTTCGTGTGAAATTGTTTTGAGTATAACACGACGGAATACATGAATAGGGTAAGACAGGGTAACATCTGGGCAGGGCTCTTTGACATTATTTCAAAAACGAAACTTGACAAAATTGATTTGGATACAAGAAGACTTTGAACATACTGTAGTGTTGTAGGGTATCACATGGTCGGCCCCGCACGACTATAGCCTTTACTTACTTGTTAAATTTGGTATTTGAAATTTGTAATGCATACTATAACAGAAAATTGCCACTTATTTGTACCACCCTGTATTCGGTGTCTTTATTTATATCACTTTTTTGACAACATTTTACTCGAATGTGTATTATGTGTGCAGGACTTTTGGTATTGAAATGGTACATGTAGGTCCACGTTTTGGTATAGCGCCATATAACGGTACCTTCCGATATTCGGTACATGATTGATGATGATTTTAGCGACATTATTCACCGGAATTGTAACAAATTTCGCATTTAAAGTTCGCAAACGGTACTTCAGTCTATGATATAAAAAATTCGTATGTAGGTTCACGTTTTCGTATATCCCCTTTATAACGGTACATCCCGATATTCGGTATTTTGCTGATTTAACCCTTTCAGTGTTTTTGTCAAATATATTTGACATTTAAAAGTACTCTCTTTCTTTGCCATTTTTTGTTTTTCTTACGAACCGTTAGTTTTGATATTTTTTAATAACAGACACGTTCGCTATTTAAAAATATTGCAGTTATATTCTATTAGTTTCGTTTTCGAATTTCTGAGCACATTTTAGTAAATTAGTACGGAATTTCAGATTTTTATCTCGACAAAAATTTTCATTGACACTGAAAGGGTTAAGCGACATTATTCACAAGAATTGTTTCAAATTTGGTATTTGAATTCCGTAGTGGGTACAACAGCCTATGACGAAAAATTTCGTTAGCAGGTCCACGTCTTGTTTAAGTCTCCATATAAAAGTTTTCATTTAAGTCGTAGTTTCCGGAAGTTTTTTGAAATTTTTTAAAGTTGCTTCCAAATGGTAGAGGGTATTAAAAGTTTGGCCCGGCCGAATTTAGCTGCTGTTTTGCTTGTTAGTAATTCTTGTATCTTCAGCGAATTTAACACCACTTCTACGGTTAATGATTGAACCCAATACAAAAGTTCCACCTCTCACCGACGGCTTGGTAAATCTGTTAAAGCGTTCTTTTAATAGTTTTCGTACTCTTAAAATAAGAAACTCCAAACTTATTTTTCATACACTTTTAGACAAAGGATCATAGTGCAAAACTTCTTATTTCAAAAATTTCGACTCATTTCTCTCTTAATGTCCGATCAATAACTATATTTTCCCTAAAATTAAGAATTTCGTACCCCTCCGTTCCAGCAGTAACTCTAATGAAAAAATTAAGTTCAAGCGTTTCACTTGGACGTCGGTCAAAAGTATGTACAATAACTTTTCTAGTACAAAAAACACTCAGTAATGTTCACTGAGAGTATTTTCACTCTCACGTAAAAATATGGCAAAAAGTAAACAAACAACATCCAGATCCGAAAACAGCTGTTTCAAGAAATTAGTGCAATGCACTTGTTAGTTGTTGGAAAAATGGGAAAAAAATATAGAGAAGATAATTATTTAATGATATAATAAAATACTGAATGTCGATTATTGGAAAAACCTAAAATAATTATATGATTGCTTGAAATTTGTAAATTTTTCTCCATCGGCTACAGAGCGTATGTTTTTCAATAAGCTGATTTTAATATATAATTCTTATTAAATACATTTTTCCATTAAGAACTTTCCAAACCTCAAATGTTAAATTACTCTCTTTATTCGCTCTAATTTTCTCGACATTTGGGTAAATTCAATAATAATAATTTGTACAAAATATTCGGTTACCGCCTTAAACTTGTTTTAGTGGCATGTACTTTTCGTAGTTATTTCCATCACATAATAAAAATTGTACAATATTTAGTACATTTTAGTATTTTTTCTACGATTTTTTATGTTTACTCTTTTCTCTTTATTTTTTCAGTTAACAAAACTTCGCATGGCCTTGGACAGTGAGACGGCAATACATTCGAATTTGGCAGCCAATATAAAAAATACCAACAATGACGCCCCAACTAATGCCTCGACGGCAGAAGGTTCAGTGCAAAACAACAAATCAAATATTTTAGGGAAATCTGAGGAGCGCATTCAGGCTCTTAGCGTTATAATGCTGTATCTGTGTACGGGTCTGCAACATGCCCAAGGTGTAGCAATGCAATAAACCATGGAAGCGAAAAGGAAGATTATACACCTTGCGTTTTAAAAACACTGATACACTGACACACGGACACGAGTATGGTCAGTTAATCGTATTAATCGAAAAACAAACAAACAACTATACACACATAAGGCTGAATTCATTTCAAAAAAACTAAAACCGATCTTAACCAAACAGAAACTAAAAATTTTATGGAATTTTGAAGTAGTCAAATTAAAACAAAAGAAAAAAAGTATTAGAAGAAATAGTTAATTAGGGCATGGAACACTCGAACCCATTTAAGAAATACACTCACTCACACACACGTACATATGAAATAAATAGATAACCCGCTGGATAAATGTTTAATTCAATATCCAATAGATCTATGATATATATATATTCAGTAGTTTATATATAATTACCTATATCTGAATGTATGGATGTATGTATGTATTCATGCATAACCTTAGTGTGCGTAGTTATGAACTTGCGAGGTATAAAAATTTGCTGCAGGCTGCTCTTACACAAACATGGTTTGTGTTTTTTTGGAAATGATTTTAATACCCTCCACCACAGTATGGAGAGCTTATTTAGTTTGTCATTCCGTTTGTAACACCTCGAAATATATATTTTAGACCCCACAAAGTATATATATTCTTGATCAGCATTAAATCCTATGTCAATTTAGCGTTGTCCGTCCGTCTGTCCGTCTATACATCTGTGGAAATCACTTTAGTTTCCGAACGAAATGAAGTAAGTTGATAAAATTTTACTCAAATATGTATTTTGTCTGCAGGACTCTTGGTGTTGGAAATGGTCCATGTAGGTCCACGTTTTCGTATAGCCCCCATATAATGGTACCTTCCGATATTCGGCATTTTGATGACTTTAGCAACATTATTCACCGGAATTGCTTCAAATTTGGTATTTGAAGTCCGTACTGGATACTGCAGCCTAAGTCAGAAAATTGTCTGTGCAGGTCCACGTCTTCATATAGCCACCATATAATGGTACCTCCCGATATTCGGTTTTTTACGATTTTAGCTACATTACTCACCGGAATTGCTTCAAATTTGATATTTGAAGTTCGTAATGGATACTTCAGCCTAAGGCAGAAAATTGTCTATGCAGGTCTACGTCTTCATATAGCCCCCATATAACGGTACCTACCGATATTCGGCATTTTGATGATTTTAGCGACATTATTCACCGGAATTGCTTCAAATTCGGTATTTGAAGTTCGTAATGGATACTACAGCCTAAGGCAAAAATTTGTCTTTGCAGGTCCACGTCTTTGTATAGATCCCGTATAACGGTACCTCCCCATATTGTGTACTTTGTTGATTTTAGCGACGTTATTAACCGGAATTCTTTCAAATTTAGTATTTGAAGTTCGTAATGAATACTACATCCCAAGACAGAAAATGAGCCATATAGGTCCACGTCTTCGTATGGCCCCCATATAATGGTACCTCCTGATATTCACTATTTTAATGATTTTCGCGACATTATTAACCGGAATTGCTTTAAATTTGATATTTGAAGTTCGTAATGGATAGTAAAGCCTATGACAAAAATTGTGTGTGCAGGTCCACGTCTTCGTATAGGCCCCATATATCAGTACCTCCCGATATTCGGTATTTTGATGATTTTGGCTACATTATTCACCGAAATTGTTTCAAATTTGGTATTTGAAGTTCGTAATGGGAACTACAGTCAGTGACAGAAAAATGTTTATGCAGGTCTAGGTCTTCGTATAGGCCCCATACATCAGTACCTCCCTATATTCGGTATTTTGAGTTTAGGTACAATACCCACCGAAATTGTTTGAGATGTGGTATCTGAAGTTCGTAATGGATGCTACAGCCTATGACAGAAAATTGTCTATACTGGTCCAGAACTTCGTACATCTACGATATAACGGTACCTCCGTATATACGAAATTTTGATGATTTTAGCTGCATTATTCAGCGTTTATTTCAAGTTTCGAATTTGAATATGGTAATGGCTTATGACAAACAGTGCCTATGTAGGTCCACGTCGTATGGACCCCATTATAATGGCTATATTCGGTATTTTTAAAATTTTAACAGATTTTTTTAAGGATTTTATTTTTTTTTGAAAATTTCCAAAGTCGTTCCAAATGGTGGAGGATATTCGAAGTTCGGCCAGGCAGAACTTACTGCTTTTTAACTGGTTTAAGTTTCGCATTTGAGTATTGTAATGGCTTATGACAAATGTTACCTATGCAGGTCCATGTCGTCGTAAAGACCCTAATATAACAGTTACATTCGGTACTTTTAAGATTTTAACAGAATTTTTAATGGATTTTATTGTTTTAGAGAACTGCCTACTTCGTTCCAAATGGTGGAGGGTATTCAAAGTTCGGCCCGGTCGAACTAACAACTTTTTTACTTGTTTTTTTTTTTTTTTTCTGAGAAGTTATTTAGTCTAAGGTGAAATTGTTTTAGAGCTCCTTATACGCAAATGATTCACATGTATTACCTGGAAATTCTGAATTTTAGAAAAACATAATTCACAGAATTCCAAACAGAATTGATGCTAATAATAACTACTAATTGTTGTATATTGAATGTGTTTTACAATAAAATAAAACAAAAACGTTAAGGGGATGCACCAGTTTTTATGAACATTACCTACCTACCCTCTTGTTTTTATTCCAGAAACCAACAAAAACCAAAAAAATTGTTTAAAATTTTATTCAAACAAAATACAATAAATAATTGTTTTCAAATAGCCTCAGAGTGAATAAACAAAACCCAAATGGAAAATATATATTGAAAAATAAAAGTAATAAATATTTCAATTTAGTGTTAAACATACACCAATTATAAGTAAAATTTTAATTAAAAAAATTATATGTATTTAAGGAAAATCGATACAAGTTAAACCCCCACAAAAAATCGGGAATGACAATGGAAATACACAAATAAATTTAAATATAAATATATTAATTGAAACAGTATTGAATGATAATTTTTAAAACCCATGTTTTTATATATATACAAACACACACACGTACACATAAAGTGGTAATATTAGATTCATTTTTTAAACAAATGTTATATCTCTATTATGAACTTATTATCATTGGGCCAAGCTATAAAAGAGCCAACCCCAACAACAACAAAAACAACAATTACAAATGTAAACGAAAGAAACAAAATGATGATATTGTTTGTCCTTCACTTTTAAACAAAAATAAATGAAATAGCATAAAATATAAAAGAAAGGGATTGTTTATTTTTTTATTGGCACTTGTACTCTCCAAGGCAACAAAAGGGGCAGACGGATCGCTGACACCCCACATATGTTGCCTATACAAGAAGTAAAAAAACAGTAAGTTTGCAAGGGCAATCGGTGGAATTTATATAAGCGCTATAGGAAAACGTGGACATAAATATTAAATGTCCTGCCACCGGACTTTAACTCACTATGACCTACAAATACCAACGTTTAAACAAACCGGTGAAAAAATGTGGCGAAATCATCAAAATACCTAATATCGGGAGGTACCGTTATATGGGGGCTATACAAAATCGTGGACCTAAACATACAATGTTCCGTCACAGGAGCTAGAACCCATTATGATCTACAAATACCAACGTTTAAACAAACCAGTGAAAAAATATGGCGAAATCATCAAAATACCGAATATCGGGAGGTACCGTTATATGGCGGCTATACAAAATCGTGGACCTATACATACAATGTTTCGTCACCGGACCTAGCACCCATTATGACCTACAAATACCAACTTTTAGACAAATCCGTGAAAAAATGTGACGAAAATCATCAGAATACAAAATATCGGGAGGTACCGCTATATGGCGGCTATAATAAAATGTAGACCTACACATACAAAGTTTCGACCTACATGTACCAACTTTTAGATAAATCCGTGAAAAAATGTGGCCAAAATTATCAAAATACCGAATATTGGGAGGTACCGTTATATGGCGGCTATAACAAAACGTGAACCGACATATCTCATTTTCAATACCAACCATCCTAGACACAATACAAATTGTTCTGCCATATTTTGAAGCTCTGAGTCAAATAATGTGGGCTGCATCGTGATTTCAACAGAGAGACCGACAGGCATCGTTATATCGACATAGAATTTTATCCTGATCATGAGTAAATATACTTTATGGGGTCTACGACGAATATTTAGGGATGTTACCAACGGAATGACAAAGTTAATATACCCTCTTTTTAAAGGTGGAGGGCATAAAAACGAAGACCAATATCCCAATGAAAAAAACTGCAAAAACAGACAAAAGCCATAATTTTTACATATTTTTTCTTAATTTTATTGAATGAAAGCAAAAAATATCGGAAATAGCATAAAATTTTAGTATAAGTTTAGATTTGTTCGAATTGGTCACCTTTGGCACAAATTATGGCCTTAAAACGGCCAATGAAACCGTCACACGCTGCCCGAATGTTGCTCAGCGGTATTTTGGCCCAGCCCTGGCGAAGAGGTGAGGTGATCGGCACTTTGGTATATTTTTAGTGCCAACCTTGCTTTCCAAAATACTCGAGACACAATAGTCCAACGGATTGCTATCCGGAGATTTTGGTGGCCATTGTGCGCTGGAAATGAAGCGAGGAACCTCATTTTGCAACCATTTTTGGGTGGCGCGTGCTGAGGTAGCGCCTGTGCGGGCCCAAGGCTTTATTACACCCTCCAGAATATTTATTCTGATGCCATGGTCAATTAATACGAGCATAGAGCTACCGTCGGCTGTTATGGCGGTTCACACCATCACCATGGCCGGTGCTTCAGTGCTGGTAGCCAACCAAAGGTGCAAATTTTTAGCTGACCTCTTTGGCACGAAAACACGATCATTTTGTTTGTTTATAAACTGCTGGACAACGAATGTTTTCTCATCGGAGAAACCCATATTCGGCAGTTCACCACTTTCGGCCAAGCGAAGCAACTCTTTAGCTCTTTTGAGTCTATTTTTTTGCACTTTTTGGGATTTCAATGGCTTTATCCCGAGCTCATTTTTCAATATTTGCCGAATGGAATATTGCGATATGTTCAGCTCACGAGCCATTTTTGGCCACTGCGACGCGGTCTTCGATCAAGTCGCTTCTTTGCTTTTCGAACCATTTTTGCTTAGCTCTTTTGAGTCTATTTTCTTTCG